CTCAACCATTTTCTCATTACTGTGCCTGGCTCCCACGTCAGGATTCCTTTAAGACAGCTTTCCTTAATCACCTCCTCCTGCCATGAAATTTTAATATCATAGATACACTGTACATCTGTTTATGTACTGAGTCCTCTGGAGGACTATAAATTACTATAACACTAAAGTTATTTCACCTTCAGTAATGAATTTTTGCTCCTCTGGGACACCATTACCCATGTGGTGAATGTATGCAAAACAGGGTCAAACAGGGCTATTCTAATGTGTCTGTTTGCAGCTCATTTGCACTGTTGGTTTCTGGGATGAAAGTCATTCTTGAGACTTCCTAGCTCTTTGATCACCCCCCCCCCCCCCCAGGGAGGGGGTTTTTTTGTTGTCCAGCCTGTCTTGAAACTCCCTCTGTAGACCAGGCTGGCCTTAAATTCACAGAGATCCACCTGCCTCTGCCTCCTGAGTGCTGGGATTCAAGGTGTGTGCCACCATGCCCAGCTGACCATCCCTTCTCAAAATCCCACCATAGTCTTTTATGCCCCGCACCATGTGCATGTCTTCTGGGGATGGAGTCCAAAGCCTCACACATGGTAACTATGCGCTCTACACTGAGATAAACCTTAGTTTCCACATTTCCTTTAATAACTGCCATTCCAAAAGGCTCAATATTTGTTTTTATTTCCTCTATTTTATGCAGTCTTTCCAGGAGATGTGGTTTATTTCCATAGTTTTAATAACCACCTATGATGCTATTAAGTCCAAGCCTATCGTTTCACTAAAGATGCTTGTCCTTAGCTCCAGTCTCTTGCTGTTATTAGTATGGTCTATAGGCCAGTGGTGGGCAGCTTCACTGAGGGTTTCGGTCAATGGAGATTCCTAGACTTTGTCCCAGACCTCTTGAACCAGAGTTTGCATTTTAACAAGCTCCTAAAATATTCTGTATGCATACTAAAGATAAAGAAGGCCCAGGGCTGTGTCCTATTACCAATTCTCTAACGGATACTATCAATAAAATATAAGCACATTAATCCTCATGGACCTCAACAGAAGAGTCATCTACATACAAAGTCCATGCCACCCACCTCTTCTATGTCATTTATACCTAACTGGTCACATTCCTAGCTGTTCTACTAGTAGATAACTCTTGACTGTATTTCCTCTTCTATGCTAATCACTATTGCTTTCATCTACTCTGAGGCAGATTATCACTGAAGGCCTAGCAGGTTTCCCGAGTCATAGCCTCTCTCCCCTGAATTTGTCGACCAACTACAGTTAGAGTTGTATTTCTAAGCTACAAGTCTGAAAGAGATGAAACTCTTGGCTAAATTTCTTTCGGTGACTCTTCAATGTTGAAGTGGGGGTTCCGGCATTCAGAACAGGGTTTAGGAAATCTTTTGAAACTATAAGGAAAATTTGTGTTGTTTATATTTTCAAGGGACAAAGAAACAGCTTTCATTAGATTTTCTGAGGTGTTCAAGGACAAAGACAGTTAGGAACCACTAAAGAAAGGACCAATAAGTTGACAAAATCCAACCTATTTAGTTTGGCATATAAACTCTCTCTCTCTCTCCTCTCTCTCTCTCTCTCTCTCTCTCTCTCTCTCTCTCTCTCTCTCTCCACCTGTCTGCAGGAGCCCACGCTTCCAGGCTTAAGGACAGACAGACCCGGCAGTCCCTATGACTTTTCCATCTCTGCTTCTGCACTCACTCCCCGAAACAACCCCATGGTTGCACATACCTTATCTAAGGGGTAGAGCCTGGATGTGCATCCAGGTCTTACTTCAGAGCTCACAGTCAATTCCACAGTGCCATAACATTTTGCATTCTTAGTACTCACAACCTCACCAGATTCTCACCCAAAACAAGTTTCCTGCAATTCTCATGTGTAGATTTCATATATCATAGATATCCTAGGTACGATAATGTATACCAGTGCTGCAGTCCACTAAGTTATACTGTTCCATTAATGAGTTACCGCCATCAGTATTAAAAATGCTGGACTAGTCTTTTGCTGATACAGGGAGTTCTCATTTCTGAGCAGCTATTATCTTAGCCCTAGCATTTGCAAGGTTTCGGGATTCTGTAAGAATGCAAAAGCTATGTGTTTGCTAGTGCACTGACCACTTACTATCAGCTTCAACCCAAGCAACCCTCTTAGCTGTGCACGAACACCCAGCCCCTCCAGCTGTTCATTCCCAGTCTCCTAGGTCATCAAAACCATCACCTAGCAACTCAACACCAATTTATCACCAAGTAAAGCTATAAATCTTGTATAAAATGCAGGATATCAGGAAGTGAGCACACAAAATTGAAAACATCAATATGGTAAGCTAATTCACAATTGAAAAAGAAGAAAATAAATAAGGATCATGATTTTTAAATGTAGTTCGGAAGAGGCTGTTTTGAATACTAAGAAGATTAAGGAGAAGCTTGCAGGAAAACAAGTGAAATCCTTGAATATCCTGGCCCAAATCAGCTCTTAATAACCATGCTGCAAGAATCTCATAGGGTTCAATGCATCACCTTGAAATACCATGCAATTTTGCTTAAAAAAAAATAGACCTTAAACAAAATCCACCAATCCTCGACATGTTGTTTGTTTACTGGGGAACTAGTGCATAGTTTTATCCAGCACTCGGTAGTACGAAACAAGGAAACCAAACTAATGGTGATTTCTCCTTACTCACCCTCGCACCCTAAACAGGCTCTGCTCCTCGGTGAGCACTCTAAACACCCCTCCTTTTAAAAACTGTTTGTGTCCATTTTATGTGTGAGGGTGTTTTTCTTGCGTGTGTATATGTGTGCCTGATTCCAGTGAAGGTCGGAAAAGGACACCATATCCCTTATAACTGGAATTATGGACAGTTTTGAGCCACCACGTGGGTGCTAGCAACTGAACCCGCGTCCTGTGCAAGAACAGCAAGTGCTCTGTTGAGCCAGCTTTCCACACCCACCTCCCCCTTTTTACAGCCACAGTCTCACTATGTAGCTCAAGCTGGTCTCAAACTCGCAATCCTCTTGCCTCTGTCTCCAAAATTCTGGGAGGACAGGTATGCACTGCCATGTCACGTTAGTACCCCTTTAAAATGGCTTCACTAGGTGACCACTTGTCTAATCTCATCTGAAAAATAAGAACCTCCTATATGCTTGTTTCCTTAGCATATGACATACAGCAAGAGCTTACTGTTTGCTAAATGAATGACTGCAATCGTATCTTCTGCCCCTGACTCAGTAGCATACAGAAATATACCAAAATTCCTCAGTAAGTCCTCACCAACACCAGGAAAAAAAGCCCTACTCCTTAGCATGAATCGCAACACTTAGTGATGTCCTGACTTGGCCTCATCCTCTGGCCGTTTCACTACTGTGGCTCTCCAGCGGCACCATACTGCTGCTATGCTGCCATCGATCCTTCTGCTTGGCAATTTCCTTCCCTACCAAATGAGAAAGAAACTGACTCCTTTCTCCTTACATACCACCTTGTACCTGATTACAAGCACACACTCTCACTACACCACATTAGCACTGCTTCCCATTCATAAAAATAATGTTGTATATCGGGGGAAAAGAGAGGAGACAGAAGAAGATATGGGGATAAATGTATATGCACACAAATTTTAAAGTGGTTTGAAAACTTGTATTTTGTATTGGTTTCAAAACTGACCTCATTCATTTACACAATGGAGTACTACACAGCAGAAAAAAATAATGACATCTTGAATTTTGCCCACAAATGGATGGAGCTAGAAAACATCATTTTGAGTGAGGTACCCCAGACTCAGAAAGACAAATATCATATGTACTCACTCATAAGTGGTTTTTAAACATAAAACAAAGAAAACCAGCCTACAAATCACAATCCCAGAGAACCTAGACAACAATGAGGACCTTAACAGAGACATACATAGATCTAATCTACATGGGAAGTAGAAAAAGACAAGATTTCCTGAGTAAATTGGGAGCATGGGGACCTTGGGAGAGGGTTAAAGGGGAGGGGAGAGGTAGGGAGGGGAGCAGAGAAAATATAGTGCTCAATAAAAATCAATAAAATAAAAAAAATTAAAAGGAAAAATTGATCTCATACATATACATATAAAATATATACCCATATTATATTTGCGAAGTCAGCTATTTTGTTATAGTTTAAGATTTTTCCAGATGTACAAAATTTTTATGAGTCTAATCTAAATGAATGTATGCTATAATTATTTGCCCTTTAAAAACAAAACTGACATTATATGAAAGGCATTTTTTCCCCTACTTATGCAGTCATCAACCCACCATTTTTTTCTGCTTTTTTGAGACAGGGTCTCCCTATGTCATCCTGGTTGTTCTAGAACTCATTATGTAGACTAGGCTAGCCTCAAACTAACAGAGATCCATCTACCCTGTACTGGAATTGCCACCACACCCAGCTCTAACCAGCATTTTTAATGGTTACATAATATTCCAGAGAGAATGCTACCTGACCATTCTGCTATTGTTGAATGTTTAGCTAGCCTTACTATTGACTTGGGGTGGTTTAAATAAGTGAGAAAGTATCACTGTCATACACAAAATACCGTATTTTGGATTATCTATTTTAGAATATCTATTTTTAGAATAGATTATCAAGAGTCATCTGAAATTTGGCAGGAAGGAAAAATACATATTTCAGTCTCTCTATGTGGTGCTAAGTATTCTTTGTTCTACCACTTGTTGTATATTTGTGTCTTTTTGTCTATTTATAAGAGTACTAGTGTTAAACTAATTAGAATAACGAGTTTAACTCCTTGTTATATCAACTGTACTTCTGCCTCTTTTTATTTTGGTAAATCTCAGCTTTCACAACAGTTATAGCTACGAAACTTTGTAAACTAGAGAAACACACACACATTTAAATCATGAGCTAGGCGTCCTGGTGCATGCCTGCAGTTGTAATGCTCGAAAAGCAGAAGCAAGAGGAATTCTGCCAAATTGAAGCTAGCCTGGGTTTCAGAGTTAGTCCTGTGCCAGCCAGGGCCACAAACGGAGATGATGTGTCAAAACCAACAAAACTCAGGAGTACCTCTGCCATTGTAAGATGATCAGTGAACTCATTCCCACTGTTTTCCTCGTGTGTGCAATGAGCTAATTACAATATACATACAATTTTAAATACTGTTTTTAAAATATATATAATCATTTTTGAAATACCCTATCATTTTCATAACCGCCATTAAAAATAATAGCACAAGGGCCTGGGATAGATGTAGCTCAGCGGTAGAGCACGTGTGACGCACACAGGAGGCCTCGGGTCCAGTCCTTAGGAAAGAGCACACACAGAGAAACAAAGCAAAAAAGCATAGCATACATAATATTTCACGAGTAAATTCACCATTCCTTTATTTTGTCTTGCTAGATGCTCGATTTTTTTTTACATTTTTAAATACAGGTTTAAAGTGGCTTTCTGCATTGGGTTTGTTTGTCTGTAGTCCTGGGGACAGAAGGCAGGGCATTGCGCTTCTATGCTCTACCACTGACCTATGTCCCCAGCATCAACTTGTTTTAATTTGCATTTTTTGTTAGTAATGAACATCTTCTCACATCTTCTGATTGCACTCAAACTCTTCTGTAAATTGTCGGTGCTCTTTTCCATGTCTCTGCTTCTACATCGCAATGCGTGTGTGCCTTAAATGACACAGCCTATCACACTTTGTCATATTTAGGCAACATGGACCTTGTCCGTTTGTGTTTATCTTTTATTTTTACTGTGGCTTAAAAAACATTTCTATTTCATTGGTTTTTAAATTTTAAATTATAAAATTTTGATCTTTTCCCTTGAAAATACTTCCTATTACATACTAAACTTAGAAACTTAGTCCTTGTTAGAAGCTTGATATTCATTCATCATAGTTTTGTAACTTGCTTTTTTATATTTAACTCTTCAGTCCAACTGCCACCTATTTTAGTTTACGACAGGAGCTGAGCATGGAAGTGCCACAGCTGTCACAGCACGGTCCAATGAGCAGCCCTTTCTATCCTTACTATGCATCCTTTTGTTTTTATCACTTTCTCCAATGCAAAGTAGATCAAGAAATTATTGCTCCAAGCATTGTTAATTTATAATCTTGGCTCTCAGGAGGCTGACGCAGGAGGACCATAAGTTTTAGGGCAGCTTTGGCTATACAGTGGGATTCCATCTCAAAAAACAAAAGGAAAGAATCATTTGTGTCATACCAGCAAGCTAAGTATGTTTATCACTGATCCGCATTAAAACTCCTGTCCTACATCAAGGACAAGTGAACCTTTTGTCTTAACATTCTTCATTCTTCCACATATGATTAAGCATTGCTCATGAGCACAAGGTGAAAGTGGAAACAGCTTCCCCGCACGGCTTCGAACACTCTCTATCTTCATTTTTTGAGGCAAGGTTTCTCAAACGCAGAGCTCATCGATTCTGGCTAGTCTAAGCTAGCCAGCTTGCCCTGGGAATGCAATCCTGTATCTCAGCCTCTTTAGTGCTGGGATTATTGGAAGTCACCATAGTTGGCCAGCATTTCACTGAGACCTGTGGATCGGAACTCCGGTTCTCATGCTTGCACAGCAGGCTTTTTACCTGCGCACCTACCTCCTTAGACCCCTGTGCAACGTTAGCTTCCCACCTGTGATCTCCATACTGCTCTAATTCCTACCCTGTTCAGGCTTTATTCAAAACAGAACACAATCTCAAAGTTCTTAAAGCTTCTCTGTGCTCCAGATCCTGAAGAAACTATGTCCACATAAGATTGCGAGGAGACAGAAAAAGTGAAGAATAGCCCTTAAAATGATCTTTGAAAAAAAATGTACGGAGGCATACTTTACAGACTATAATTTGAAAGTGGTCATTAGGTGAGGGAAAATATCAGTACAGATTTATGAACTAGTAAAGAGATTCCAGTAGAAATGCCTCTTTGAAAACAAAGTAAAGTACATCATCAAATGCACAGGTAAAATACTAAACTGTGTTTAGACAAGACTGAGCACCTTAAATGGACATACAGACTTCAGGCATATAAAGATGAAATATCAGGTCAGGAATGTATCTCGGTGGTAGAGCCCTTGCCTGACATGCATGAGGTGCTAGGTTCAATTCCCGGCAAGGAAACTTTTAGAGCTCAGTCGGTAGAGTGCTTGCATAGCATGCAGGAAGCCCTGGGTTTGACCCTCCTTACTGCAGAAACCAGACAAGCTATAACACCAGCACTTGAGGTAGAGGCCTGGGGATCAGTAGTTTAAGGTCATTCTCGCCTAAAAAGAGAGCTTGAGGCAATAAACAAACAAATAAATAAATAAATATATGTCACTGGGCGGCAGGTGCCTTTAAGCACAGCACTTGAGACACTGGTGTAGAGGCAGGTGGATCTCCAAGTTTGAGGTCTACAGAATGAGTTCCAGACAGCCAGGGCTACTCAGAGGAGAGAAAATGCCATAACAGTTGACTGCCAGCAGGTGGCACTTGACTCACAGCAAAGTATGGAGGAAAAACAAGTTCTGAAACCAAAGAATTCTATTAAATTCCCAGGATACCGTCAGTAGATGAGTCTTTCACACAGAAAGCTGGGATTGCAGATATTTAAGGAAGAGGGCAGTAGTCTGTAAGGCGTCAGTCCCAGCGACAGTCTGTTCAGCTGTCTGTGTTGAGCAAGGAATAAGGCCCCTCTCCCATCCCTTCTAGTGTCGTGGTCAGGCTACGAGTTAGCATAATAATTGATTAACCAGAGAAAAATCATTTTATTCATTTTCATATGTACATCTGGAAGAAGCCCAGATAATTGATAATGACATAGTATCCTGAGCTACTGAATAAGGAGTTTCTGGGGGAATGGCGGAGACGTGACAGGGACTGAGGGGAGAAAACACATGGCAAGTAGTGAAAATGCCTGGAGCCCCTCTCGTCCCCCGAGTTACTGCTGCTGTGTGCTCTACCCTGTGGCTGAAGGGCCTGGATCTTGTGTACCAACTGACTCACTGGACTTGGACAGCTGCCCTAGGTCGACAATGAGGGAAAATGAGAAACAGGAAAAAGTAGTTTAGCGGCAGCTCAGCCTAACCAGGCAGCTAACCTGGGCTTTCCAAAGGCATCTTTTACAACCCATTAAACTTAGACTTGGCCTCTTAGAGGGACATGCTATCTTATGCCAGTGTTTTCATTATTCTGGCTTTGTACACTGAATATTTAGTAGCACTAGTCTTTTTGCAGGAGTTTCTAAAATCACCCTTATTTAACTTTCAAATGCGGTGATTTGTTGTATCACCCCCAAGATATCAATTTCTCGACAGCAGGATCGGGTTATTTCCTGAGAACAGACTTCTAAGAATATTGTATGAACATATTTCCCACTTTCAACACTGGGAAAGTTTTCAAGAAGCCAGTTACAACAGAACCCCGTCAGCACCTGAATAGTTTCAAATCAAAGATTTTTTTTCAGTCAGGTGTGGGGGAGGGGGAGGGATAGACTTTGCTTCCATTTCCCTACCTCCCGTTACTAAAGAGGAAAACCATGAGCTTGTCACATACGGTTTAATCAACGCTGGTCTAAGGAAGGACTGGGATCTCGGACTCTGTGCTGCGAGTATATGGGACATTTAAACAGTGTGACTACAATGGAGAGAAGAGCACGAGGAAACCTGCCGGGCAGCTTAGGGCAGGGACCCTAGAGCAGCAGTTCCAGGAATGCCCAGATGCTGGCAGGGAGCTCTGCTTTCTTATCTCCTCCCAGTGAGTGCCCTTGCTTCCATGCGGGTGTGAGCAGAACTCCAGGGCTTCTGGCAGACAGCTCTGGAACTGGAGCTCTGAATTTTCAGGATGGAAATATTGCCTCTACCCAGTCCTTAATTTCAGCCTATCTCCTAAATGATGTCAGGGTTTCATCTTCAGAGCAGAGACTGTTGGGATATCTGGTGGAGATAAGAAACCAGAAGTTCTGGCTCTGGGACGAGACTTAACAGTCCAAGGTACTAAAACGAAAGAGGTAATTAAGTAAGGCCAAGAGCCCACCTAAAGGCATGCTGAACAAATGGGAGGAACAATTTACACCCTTAATGAGAAGATGTACTTTTCCTTTTCCATCCCAGAAATCCCACCTCCCCACCCCACTTGGGTGTGGTTGCTCCTGGAGCCTTCCTTGGGTTAAGCCTGCTTGCTTTTCTGAATTACCTAGAAAAGTATAACTGTTCCTTTTTCTACCCCCTATCCCGCGCGCGTACACACACACACACACACACACACACACACACACACACACACACACAGATGCTGGCCATAGTCTAGACATGCTTCTCCTGATACTCTAGGCTTTCTCACTCTTTTTCTCTGAAGTTATTCCTAACCCTGACTCCTAAGCCCTGATTTCTTCTATGTGGTGGTTTACAAAAGGCATGATTTTTCTCTCTTTCTTTTTTCCTTCTCCCTGGCAGCTACCAAGATTTACAGCTTTCCTGCCCTAAGGGTTTTCTTTTAAAGACTAATTAAATTGTCATTGTCCTTGTGCTTTCTACAGAGTCTTTCTTTTTTAAAGACGGAATCTCACTAACCAACCCTAGCAGGAGAACTAAGAGGCCTGCCTGCCTGTCTCCCGAGCACAGGGATTAAAGCATGTGCCACTATGCCTAGCCTGAGTCTATTCTTAAATTCTTTAATTAGTGGGACTAAAACTCAAGAGGAAACCCCAATTTGCCCAGTAACATGTGACACTCCAGGTTGGGCTCCCCCAAATTTCCTAGTAACAACAATAGGTTCTAAACTAATAAGCCTGTAGCCCCAGTTCAGAGAGCTTCTAGGGGTGTCAAGAACACCTTGGAATTTGAACCTGACTTAAGTTAATCCCCAGAAACCAATTTACATGTACTACAGTCTGTCTGTTTCCAGACAGGATCAGCAGAAAGCTGTCTTCAGCAGTTAATGACACGCGAGTACCTTCACACCTGCAGCCACGACTGACTCCACTAGAAGTACAGCCTTTGGCAGAAACACAGCGGTAAGAAGTGGCAAGGTGTGAAAGTGCCCCAACTCCTAGCAGGTCTTCTGCAGCAAAAGGAAACGGGAAATGACAGCGCACTTGCCAGAGCAAGCATGCTCCGTGAAGCCACAGGGCTCCCTTACTCCCTGTGCCCAAAGGACAGAGAAGTCGTGGATGTAGAAAATCTTGCTCTTCTTTATTCTTTGGCTTTAGTAAGAAAAGATCCTGTTTTAATTTTGAACTTAAAAAAAAAGCTAACAAAAGCGGGCTGTTCTCTTTGTTTAAGACCATGTGAAATCATTACTAAGACATCAGTTTTCTATTCTCTAGGTAGTAAATTGTAGTTATTTAGTTTTACAAGGACTTCTTTGGCCAAGAAATCTGTCCATTTGGAAAAGAATAGCATTGCATACTATTATGCAAATTTGCACACGCTACAATTGTGGTGCCTTTCAGTCTGAAGGAATCAAATGCTGGTTTCTTTTTATTGAAGACCAAGGTCATGGTTGGCTGCACCCGATTTGTGAGTGATACACTGTCAGTTACTAGGACAGCTGCTTTCTTCTACCCAGATGGCATACTGGTAAGTTCAAAATTCCTCTTCCCTTGCAAGTATTAAGTACTACTAACAGAGCAAATGAGATGGCAGATGTGGAAGAAGACCTTGTCGTTCTTGTCACTTTCCTTAGACATGGTTGTATAAGGCTCCTTGATTATTTTGAAGCCTTTTGTTCTATGTCTATTCTCATCAATTAGCTACTTATTCAAACACCTGTTTCTTACTTTTGTCAAGTAATCGCTCTGACATGCACCTCTCCCAAGACCTCCATGATTAATTTCTCCTGACTGCCAATCTATTTATCTTATATACTACACATATTTCCTTAGTATCATAATTTATATTATCTTCTAACTATTCTAATTCTGTTTCTGTTCCTAGAGCCAGGTCCCTGAGACAGGGAATTTCCAAGGAATACGTAGGTTGTCTAGCTATTTCCTTTTCCCTGTTCCTTCACTGATGAAGAAACGGGTCTACGGAGGTCTGGGCAAGTTTGCAGGAAAACTAGGCATACAGCCCAGATGCCTTGACTTTCAATTGAGTGCTTTCCACTGTATTAGGTCATTTATCTTATTTGTATCTTTTCAGAACACCTTATAAAATGCTAGACACATTCGTGGTTCCCTTAAGTGTCAATGTAACAAGTGTACAGTGTATCTAACTGAGAGATTGACCAAGGAAAGAGTAAGAGAGCAGAAAGGCATTTCCTTACTTCTTTGCGTGATGCCACCCTCCAGACCAGTTTATCGCTATTTTACACTTCCCGTCAATCAGGCACTGGGCAGCTGTGATTGTAGCTCCTCCCACAGCAGCTGCATAGTCAAATATTCCTTCTGTGGCTGGGCAGTCATAACCTGGGGGCAGAACCCAGAAAAGTCTGTTAAAGAAGATCTGGGGAAGGAAGACTAGGTTAAGCTGTGACAATAACACAGCCTAAAGAAGCTTCTGGGCTCAAATCAGCTCCAAGGGGGACAGATAAGCATCTCCAATGTTGGACAGGGAAGGCTTTCAAAGGTTAGAGATAGAAAGGTAAAGCCTTCAAGATGAACTTCTCATATCCCACCAGCAGTCTATCAAGGCCTGAGAGGTGATGTATTTTGCCAGTGGTCACACAGAGCCAGGCCTGGGACCGGGTCTTTTGATAGCCAATCTAGTATCTTTCTTTAAGCCACACAGTTTCTCTAGAAGAGCGGTGCCTTTGACATCGCAGTATGCTGCTGTCACCTACAAACGTGTTGGGCCCCATTCATACTTAAAATATATGATCACAGGATAGCTGAACTGGCATATAAACAGCCAGAGCAGACCCAAGTGCCGCCATTAGAATCTCAACACTGAACGGATTCTCCTCCATCAGGCTCATCATTCTGGTGTGTTCAACTCATAGAGTGTTCACATATGACCAGACTGAGGGATTAAAATGAACAGTTGGGGCTTGAGATGTAGCTAAGGCAGAGAGCCTGCTTAGCATATTCCAGGACCTGGTTCCACCCTCAATAACACACACTGGCCCAGACAGACAGACACACACACACAAATACACATGTGTACACACGCATCAGTTATATTATTTCTTAACTTAAAAGTATCGGGCCACAGAGGTGGCTAGAAGTTAAGAGCATTTTTTGTTCTTCCAGGGGACCTGGGTTCAATTCTCAGAATCCACATGGCAGCTCCCAAATATCTATAACTTCAGTTCCAAGGGATCTAAGGCCTCTTATGACCTCCACTGTCACTGTATGCATGTGGTACACATACACACAGTCAGGCACACAGGCACACACATAAAATTTAAAATAAAGATAAAAAAGAAAAGAAACATAAAGTATTAAGGGGTATGGAAGTAGTTCAGTCAGTAAAATGCCTGACACACAAGGATGAGGGCCTGAGTTCAGATTCCTAGCACCCATGTGAAAGCTGGCACACGAGGCATGAATGTGTAACCCCAGCACTGGAGGGGTGGAGACAACTAGATGCTTGGAAACCACTGACTGTACAACCTGGTCAAAACGGTGAAGTTCAAGTTCAGTGGGAGACTCAAAATATAAGGTACGGAGTGATTAAAGAAGACACCCAGAACTAGACGGTGGTGGCGTATGCCTTTAATCCCAGCACTCAGGGGCAGAGGCAGGCAGATTTCTGTGAGTTCGAGCCCAGGCTGGTCTACAGAGCGAGGTCCAGGACAGTCAGGGCTACACAGAGAAACCCTGTCTCAAACAAAGCAAAAGACGCCCAGTGTTGACCTTTGGTTCCACGTGTGTACCAGCAGACACAAGCACAGTACTGCACATACACATATCCTTCTACATAAACACAGAGAGACAAATTAAGTACGATAATCTGCAAGCTGGGGTCCCATTGTTGCCCAAGAGACCCTTACCTAGTCCGTATTCTATGGAGTCTGGATGGTCCTCATCACCTTCTTGGCTGACCTTCTGGAGATGTTGCAGATAGGCATCAGTGTGGAAGGTGGCCATATCCTCCATGGAGGCCACTTTGGGCTTCACTATCCTAATAAGAACAGCGTGGACATAGAGAAGTGCGTGAGACCCAGAGTATGCAAGGCGCTGGAAACAGCAGCCAACAGTCTGAACAAAAAAGACAACTCCCAGCTTCTGGTTCCAGTGAGCCGAAGTCATAAACACACTCTGTCGCTGCACTGCACTGTCCGGCCCTTACTTCCTCCATCTATGATATTGCTCCCACTAATAAGAGACAAGAGGACAGATTTTTTTTCCTTTTGGGTTTTAAGGTAGGAGACCATAACTGAAAAACCATATTTAACTCAAACAGATAATCAACGTCCCTGGTTTAGCCACATAGAACTCATTAACCCGGGGCCAGCAGGATGGCTCAGGGGGTAAAGGCATCTGCCATTAAGCCTGCCAACCTGAGTTTAATCCCTGGGACCCACATTGTGGAGGAGAGAACCAACTGCCCTGGCAAGTTGCCTTCTGACCTCCATGTGTGTTCTGTGGTACATACATCCCCCTAAAGAAATACATACCATTTTTTAAAAATTAAAAGAGCTCTGGAGTGGGAGAGATGGCTCAGGGGTTAAAAGAATCTGTTGCTTTGGCTTTGGCAGAGGACTGGGGTTGAGTTTCCATCTCCCACATGGTGACTTATAACCACGTAGAACTCCAGTTAGAGATCTGACCTCCCTAGGTACCAGGCACACATGCATGCACACACACACACGCAAGCCAAGCACTCATACACATAAAATAAGTAATCATAAATATATATATGGCTGAAATATAAACTTTACTCTGTAAATTACATCTCATGAGAAAGCAAAGCTATTTGAATCCATTTCTGCTTGGACCAGGCAATTCTTTCAGTGTAGTCACTTGCTTTAGTTTTGGTGCTGAGCCTTGCCCCTCCCCCACCGCATCCCTCTGTGTCTTTATTTGAATATGCAGCTGGGTTATCAAGCAGAATTTGAAGCCAGAGAACTGAATTCCTTTCCTAACTCCTTACTTACTAGTTCTGTTAACTTCAGGTAAGTTGATTCTTCTATACCTCAGCTTTCTCATCTGTAAAATGGGTGGACTTATGTGGAGATGAAATAACATATACAAAACTTCATGGACAACTAGCATTAATATTAGAATTAAAAGGCGGGAAACTGGACTGGGGATGTAGAGCAGTTATACAACATCTTCCTGACATGGGCAAGGCCTTATGGTTGATGCCAAAAGCTGCAGAAAATGGTAATATGTTAGATATGGTGGCATATGGCTGTAATCATAGCACTTGAGAGGCAGGAGAATCATGAGTGTGAGGCTAGCCTAGGCTACACAACAAGTTCTACACTGGACTGGGCTTTATAAGATACTGTCTCAAAAAAAATGAGAAGTTAAATGTAAAAAGTGTTTATTTATGGTGGACACAAAGTGTTTATTTGTATGGGCACAAATGCATGGGATTTTGCAAGCCCGTACATGCACAGAGGCCAGCAAAGGATGCCACACATCCTGCTCTGTAACTCTCACCCCCATTCCCTTGAGACAGTCTCTCTCACTGAATCTGAACCTGGAGTTAGACTGGTGATCAGCAAGGCCCCAGCAATTTTTCTGACTCTTGTGTATCCCTGCCAAGACACTGGGGCTACATGGATGTGTGACACAACCCAGCTTTTCCTGTAGATTCTGAGGATTTGAACTTGGGTTCTAGTGTTTGCATAGCAAGTGCACTTACTTTCTGCTTCATCTTTCCAGTGTCCTCAAACATAAAGTTTCTATTATTTGTTCTCTTCCATCTGTCTCCCAAGGAAGGACAGAAGGAGCAAGCGGCTAGAACCTCTCAACCTGCTCCCCACAGTGAGCGAGAAAAGGAAGAAAGGAGAGAATAAAGGAAGCAAGTGACACAGGGATTTTGGCCTCGAACCTGCTGTGTCTCCATCTTCACTTCTGGATTCTGCTGCAGTTAAGTTCTCTAACCATTGCCAATGAATGGGTAGGTAGTGAACACACTAGCAGCATGGTGTTTCTTTCTTAGGAAATCAAAGCTCAAGTCTGAATCTAGGCCCAATGAACCACAATTTCTATTCTAACAAGAACACACACACACACACACACACACACACACACAAAGATTTTTCAAGATAGGGTTTCTCTGTGTAAGCTGTCCTGGAACTCTTTCGGTAGATAAGGCTGGCCTAGAACTCACAGAGTGTTAGCTTTAAAGGTGTGCACCACTACTGCCGACTTAATATCAATCTTAACATGATGATTGCCCACTTAAATTGAAGGAGCGCCACTCCAGCCATGTATATTTTTCAAATGGGAGTAGAGCCATGAGGTTATCGTGAACTAACACAGGTAGGGTATTTAGGCAACTAGTATAACCAAGGTGTTTGAAATCCTGTCGTTCAACTTTAAAAGTTAGAGTCAAAATCAAGGATTCTTGCTTTTTAAGTACTCATCTATACCATGAGAGGTGAAAAAGCTGTCCATTAAAATAAAAATCTCAGGGCCAGCAAGATGGCTCAGCAGGTGCAAGCACTTGCTACCAAGTCTGATGACCTGAGTTCAATCCCAGGACCCACACGGTGGAAGAGAAAATCAACTCCCGCCAAGTTGTTTTCTGACCTCCGCATTTGCACTTGGTTGACCACTCCCTCATGCACTTAACACTTCATCAAAATAAATAAATGCAATGATAATAAAAATGTTTAAAATAAAAATATCAAGAAGCCTGGTGTAATGGCACATGCCTTTAATCCTAGCACTCAGGAAGCAGAGGCAGGCAGATCTCTGGGAGTTCACACAGAGCTAGTTTCAGGAGAGTCTAGACTATGTAGAGGGTCAGTTTCAATTTTTTTCACAATCACAATCATATTGGATTATGTTTCCCAGCCTCTACAAATGTTTTCTCTTACATTTATTATTTATTTCCCTGAATCCTAAAACTAAAAAATATTGACAGCCTCTCCTGACCAGCAAGCTAACGAGTCTTGCTTTAACATCTTGTTTGCAATAAAATATTTTTAAATGTTGATTGTGTGTGGGAGGGAATCTAGGCCTCAGGTATGCTAGACAAGTGTTCTACATACTGAACAATATCCCAAATCTCTTTAAAAATTTTGAGACAGATTCTGGCTAAGTCACAAAGCCTGACATAGAATTGGTAATGTCCCTCCAGCACCACCTAGCTTAGAAAAGTATGAAAATCCTTTAAGGAAAGGCAAATCATTATCTTGACAAACACAGGAGTTAAGCAATGGGAGAAAAACATTCCTAGCCAGATGTGGTGATGCACACCTTTTGACAGAGGCAGGTGGATCTTAAATAGGTTCAAGGTCAGCCTAGTGAATGTAACAGTCCCTAGCCAGACAGAGCTACAACATAGACCTTGTCTCAAAGCATCAGCAAAACATTCCTAAAGAATGTACACACTGTAGGGAGGTGGTGGTGCATGCCTTTAGCTCCAGCCCTTGGGAGGCAGAGGCAGGTGGATCTCTGTGAGTTCGAGGCCAGCCTGGTCTACAAATCGACTTCCAGGAGAGCTAGGACTGTTACATAGAAAAACCCTGTCTTGAAAAACCACACAATGATCGTACATATTAAAATGACTAATAATACTAAGGATAAAATCTAAAAACATATTACATTACTTTCTGGGAGGGAAATGAAGCATTAGATGATATAGTCACTCACCCAGTCATGAGAAAACCTGATTTGCATGTGTCACGTCCATAAGAGTTGCATTTATGATATTAAACACAGAATGGGAAATCAACAGAAAGCTTGGTTTTGGTTTGTTTTTTAGAAGCATGTAGCTAGCTTTTAAGTTCTGGCTTGTTTTCAACAAATTGCTTGGGGTAAAGTCTGGCAATGATAGTGGGGTAGTGTATCTAGAAGTCTCAAGTTGGGCCCACACCCTCAAATCCAGCTTTAGAAAACAAATAAAACAAAACCCAAAGCAAACATAAAACAAACTGAACACTTCCCTGCTTAACCGCTCCCCACCCGCATCAAAAAGATCTTAGCATCTGGCAGGTGCTTATCTAGCAGTCAAGTCCCTTCTAGTGGATCCTGACTGCTTGTGTGCCTTCCCCAAGTGTTCTCAATTCTTCAAACGCTTTTCCTGAGTTACAGACATATCATGAACATTCCCACAAAAGCTTTTTTTAAAGGCCCATTTCTCCCTGGCTAGTCCCACTACGAGATCAGGTATTTATTGAGGCTTCGTGAGTGACAATGTTCAGAAAGGTCAACATACTTACCTCATTTGTTTGTGCAGGGCATATGCTTCGATCAGAGAGTGGACCATACTGGCCTGAAATATCAGCATGAAAAAAGAAAGGCAAAACAGTCTCTTCAAGGCTCAATTTACTGAAATTCCATTAACAACATCCTGCATGAAGAACTAACTACTTTATTTCTTCTCTCTTGTTACTTTGTCAGTTGGGATAAACTTAAGACAAAACGATACAAAGTATTTAAATCGCCAAGACGGAAGCTACCCAGCATATTTAACACAAGTGATGGCATACTGTCCTCCAACAGCTTGTGGTCAAGGACTTCAATGAAGCCATCCTATTAGAAACTCCACTCACCTCTTCACCGTTTCTTTCCCTCACCCGCCTTCAGCCCTCCTGCCCTCACCCACGCCTCGGATGCCCCGTTGTGCTCCCCAAAGGTAACAAACCACTTCCTTTTGCCTCAGCTTGGTGTACCTGAAACGGCTAGTTAAATTTTTGTTTAAGGTATCCCCCAGTCTAGTTTGCCTGGTTTCCTAACGTACTCCCTTTCACACCCTCCCACTCCCATCCCCCCCAAACGATGGTCTTTCATCCAGACCCCTTACCCGTTTGGGGATCTTGACGAGAGAGTCACAAATGCTGACATACTCGGGACTATAAATATAAACCGGGGGCAGCGAATGCCCACTATTGGCGGGTTCCTCTGGCATCTCCATCTCCCACTTCCAACCGTCCCCGAGCCAAAGTCTGGATCCGACAGTTTGCGGACTCAGCCTGGGCTCCGGTTCCTGCTCCTCTGTTCGGCCCCAGCGGTGTTCCCTGTTCAACATTCCCTCTTATTTAGATTGCCGGAGACAGTTTGCCTGGTCCCTCGCCCAGCTGAAGGAATGGATGGGCCCTCCCAGACCAGATCCCTTCATTTAATGACCACAGTTCAAAAAAAGAGCTTGACAGATATAAAAGCCCAAATGGCTGCCAATTGGGATCGATTTTTTCATGGCACAAGCAGCACGGTCAAAACTAACCAGCCTTGTTGCCCTACGGGGCCATTTGAAATGAGGTCAGACCAGCTTCAGAGCATGCTGGGAGATGTAGTTTTAAGGGAGTAAGGTAACGGAAGAGTCACAGCTGAACACTAAAAGTTCCGATTTCAAGTTTTGGCGCTAAAAAGGAGCCTCAACTCTTTTAAGTTTTCAGTCTGTAAATAGCGCCATTTAAATGTTTAAATAGAGGTTTAAATACATTTTTAATAATCACATAAGACCCACCACCACCCAGCTACATCAACTGACTATATTAAAAACAGGCTTTGAGGGGCTGTGGGATTAACGCACCGAGTGGTTTGGAAAATTCACACAGCAAATTTCGTGCTGCAACTTTATTTCTACTTTTCCTCACTATTCGTTAAGAGCTAACAATTTCACCAGTAATCTACTCTGACAAATTAGCTATCACCTTTCTGAAACTGGCTGAGATTGTGAAAATTGTAAGGTGGAATCTAACCAAAGAAAAATAACAGCATCTTCCTGGATCTTTCACGTGATGGAAAGTGCGGGACGTCTCCCCAGAATTTGGAAACCCCAGCTCCCTCCCACGTTTCCTTTCATTTGCTTCTGCAGCTAAACAATGCTTAGGGCGAATGTTTTAGGTTTGGCGTGCAGGGTGTTAGTGTGCCCTCAAGTAGTGTAGTTTTGGGTTTCTGGATGCCTCCATGACCTGAGCCTAGCTGGTCAGTTTCCAGACACCCAACACTCACACCATCCTGAACTGACCTACTGAGGCCTCTGAAACAAGTCCACGTGTGTAACTTCTTTAAAATTCTAGCTTGCTTTAAACATGTTTTGTGATAGGCACTTTGGTTATTATCTTAGTGAATCCTTTCAACAGTTCTGTGAAGGAAGCTGTAATACACTTTACAGCATACTCTGAAGAGAAAACGTCATTCTTAGCCACACACTGAAGTAGGAACGCAATCCAAAATCAGATCTACCTGACAATGAAAATTGAAATACTCCTTTTACTACATGAACTTGATTCTTCCAGGTTGACTTTGTGCTACACATGTGGTCAATATTCCATTTATTATCTCCTCGATACTTAATATTCTTGTAATCTTGGGGTGTGTACATGTGTTCTCCAGTTAGAATGGATCCAGTCATCTCCATTTGTATTCTTCCGTAGGAACTAGTTCAAAGTGCGGTCATCGCTCAGTTACTCAAGCATTTCCATCAACTCTATGGACTCAAAGATGCAATGCACTCTCAAGGAATCAGCATTATTATACAGAAAATAAGTGAACTGTAAAAGAAACCATGTCATTACAAGTCCAGATAATGAATGTAAGGTGCTTAACTTACCTAACAAAATAAGCATTAAGTACTTAAATAATGAGTATTCAAAAATGGTTAAGTAGGGTTCTTAGTAGCATTTGAGACTATCTTAGTGAATGTGCAATATTGTGCTTGTGAGGATGGGAGGAAATGCTGACTGGAAGGAACAGCTTACATAAAAATACAAAGAACTGGGGCTGGAGAGATGGCTCAGCAGTTAAGAGCACTGGTTGCCCTTCCAGGGGACCCTGGTTCAATTTCCAGCACCCACCCACCCAGCAGCTCACAGCTGTCTATACCTCCAGTTCCAGGAGATGCAACACCCTCACACAGACATGCATGCAGCCAAAACACCAATGCACATAAAACAAATTATTTTTTAATACAAATAAAGTGTGACAGGCAAAATGGCTCAGTGGATAAAGGAACTCTATTGTAGCAGAACAGATCAGATCAGGAAAGGTTTTAGGTATTAGACTAACAACAACAACAACAAAAACCCCACACATACACACACTCCATTCTCTTGGAAAGGGGGAGGGCATTTTTGTAATGCTGAAGATGAAAGGGCTCTGTGTCTGCCAGGCAAGTGTGCTAGACCCCAAGCCCTTAGAATCTTCAGAAAAAAATTCTACAACAGCAGTCTGTATGAAAATTGGTTATTTGAAAGACTGGCAAGTCCAGATAAGGAGTAGTCACCGATTTAAGCTAGGTTGGCAGCAGTGGGAAGACAAAGGGAGCGGCAGTGCATAGGGAGCTCAACAGGGCTTTCTGGCTACTTGGATCATGAGGGAGAGTGAAGGGGATGAAAGAGTGTGGCTGAAATCTGGAAAAGTGGAAGATCTGGATAGAAGAAGTCAGGGCCTGCGTTCAGTGGAAGAGTGTGTGCTTAATATGTGCAGCACCAAAAAGAAAAAGGGCCATAAGGAAGAAGAAATAAAAAAGGTGGGGCAGGATGGACTTTGGAGTATACGCAAGAAATGCTAAAAAGTGTTAAATCTCATAAAGCAATGGGTCACCTGGCTGTGGTGGCACACGACTTTAATCCTAGCACCAGGTGCAGAGGCCCTGATCTCTTGTGAGGTCAAGGCTGGCCTGGTCTACTGGTTTATGTGGCAAGACCCTGTCTCAAACACACACACACACACACACACACACACACACACACACACACACATTTCCATTTGATGAGCCGGGCAGCGGTAGTACACGCCTTTGATCTCAGCACTTGGAAGGTAGAAGCAGGAAGATCTCTGTGAGTTCGAGCCCAGTCTGGTCTACAGAGTGAGCTCCAGGACAGCCGGGACTGTTACACAGAGAAACCCTGTGTTGAAAAATAAAAAAAAAATAAAGATGAAGTTATGAGTGGCTAAAGTAGCCAGGGTAATATGAATGAAACAGTTGGATATAACATAACTTCTGGATATAACTTTAATGTTTTCAAAACTAAACTTCTATTTCCCTTTTTACACCCTTTCTCCATTTTTACACCTGTCCCTGTTGCACAAGCCAGAAGCCTAAGAGCTATTTGTGTGCCTTTCTATTCCTTCAGTTGCAGATCCAATCCATCAGCAATTTCCATCAGCTCCACTTCCAAGACAGCCTCAAAGGCACCTGCTTCTCCCGCACAGTTCCTACCCCAGACTGGCAACCATTACCTCTGCTCTGAACTTTCATAAATATATATCTGATTTTTCCTTTGACGTGTGTGTGCGTGTGTGTGTGGATGTGTGTGTGGATGTGTGTATGCAAGGTTGTTGCATAAGTTTCCTCTGAGATGGAAACATTCTATCCTGCAGGAAAGTTCCTTAAGACAAAAAGCAAGCAACTCAAAATAGATTCAGGTACTCCCTGAAACTGACCAGATCAATTTGCTTCCCCACTCCCTGAGAGTAAACACTGCTGAGTCTCCAACAAGCCAAGTTTCTTGGAAGCAGCAGAGACCAGTCCCATTGCCTAGACGAATCAAAGACCAGTAGAGCGGCCTGGAAGAGGCTCGGCCGCTGAGGCTCCTGGTAGGACACTCTCCAACTTGTGTGCTCCAGATTTTCAGCAGCTTTTCTGAGCTGTCACCCATGATGGGGTAGACTTTGTTGATGCAGCTTTCTTTGAGTCATTCTGACTCCTGTAAGTAATCTCAAAAACCTCGATAGCTCACAAAGTCGGACTTTGGTGGTATCCGTACTTTGGTCTGCTGTGGGCTCCGTATCTGGGGTGAGTAGACTGACTGTGTGTTGTCTTCCCAGGAAAAGTATGTCACACAACAAGGGTGCATGTGCATACCTTCAGGTATGACTTCTCAGGTGTTTTTCGAGACAGTCTCTCACTGGCCTAGAACCTGAGTAGTCTATAGTCTATGCTGGTTGGGTAGCAATTCCCCAGGATCCGCATCCACATCCCCAGGAGTGGAACTGTGAATTGTGTGTGTCACTGTGCCCACTTTTTAAAATGTGGGTCTGAGATTGAACTCAGGCACAACAAGCACTTTTCCGACTGAGCTGTGTCTCAGACCTCTCCTGGTCTTACTGCCCAGCGGCTTATTAGATGCAGCAGCTGAGAGATTTTCTTTTTAAAAAATTAAAAAGTAAACTGGGACTGGAAGATTAGTTCCGTCAGTAAAGTGTCTGCTGTACAATCATGGTGACCTGAGCTCAGATCCCCAGCACCCACAGAAAAGTCGGCTGGCCGCCATCTAGGTGCTCGGAAGGCAGAAGCAGGCAGATCTCCTTGAGGGTGAGGTTGGTGAGAGAGCTTGTCTCTAAAAATGGTGGAGAGTGATTGAAACAGACTCCTGACGTTGCTCTCTGGCCTCCATACATGCGTATGTGTGTGCAAACAACCCCCCTAGAGCGGGGAGAGGAGAGAAGGAGAAAGGGGATGTCATTAAGACCTGTCCCATACCAGGCTGAGGATCTTCAAGTCATAATTGCCTTTTTAGGAAGAGAGAGAACAAACGGAAGGAGCCCGAGGCTGTAGCGACTGACTAAAAGGTGAATCTGTGCTAGTCTGGTAGTGTAGGGAGGAAGTGACTCTTGCTCTGGGCCTTCAGGGCTAAGCAAGGGAAGGGAAGGCTGACTGAAGCCCTACATTCTGAGCTCTAATCGGATGGCACAGATTTGGGTTGTTTTATGTTTTCCAATCCAGAAACAGCTGCGCACTCCAGCACACAAGCTCTTCTGAACTGGAAACGGCATCCAAGCACAGTAAACAAGCCACAGGTGATGTAGCTGTGGAGCACGGTGAAGTGTTGCTTAATGCTCTGGAATTGACAGTAATTCCTGCAGTGGTCCCACAGGGTGACTGGATGCTTGGTTATGATTAACTCAGTTCAAAAGCATTTCACAAGTCTAATTGTTTAGTGTCTATACTGTCCTGGAACTGAGAATGAGACCTCGAGACACTGAATTTGGAGTCACTGGACTCAAGGGAAGAGAAAGGAGGATGAAGCCTGGCTCTGAGGTTTGCCTGGGTGATGGCCCTATACAATTACTTGACTCGCTTTCTCCTACTATTGCCAAAGGTACTGTTTGAACCTGCAAGGTCAGAATGGATGGGGCAGTTTCTTTTGTGGGCCTCCCTTGCCTTCCTTTGCTGGAAGAGGCAGGAAAAGGAAAAGTAAATCTTTTAAGCAAGCATTTCCCCAGTGGCTGCCTTTGCTCAGTTCAGTCTTTTCACTGATGCTTCAACATACTGACCTTGATTTCCCATCATCTCCTAACATATCTTCCTTGAAGGACACAATTGTGATGAATGTGAACTCTAAAGTTAGTACAAGGGTTCAAATTCCAGAAGTGTGACTTATTAGCTAATTTACCTTGTGCAATTTGCTTCAACTATTAGAGTGAGTTCCCCCACCTCTAGTAAGATGGGGGTGTCAACACTACCTATCTCCAGTGTTGACTGTGAAGGGAAGCTGCTCTATTGTATTTGGCCAACACTCACATACTACTTGTTTTAAGGACTATTATGTCAACCATTTTATAATATGCATGCCAAATTTTACCTGCTATCCTAAATTGATGGATGCAAAGTACTTCTAGTGATTTGAGGACAAGTTCTTGGCTTTGAGGAACAGCCTTAAAAGAAATCAGACTTCCACTAGATACAAGGTGGTCATATCATTGACCCTAGAACACTTTTGAGAATGACATAAAGTGATATGAACATTTATGCCAGGAAAGGAAGGATAAATAAGAGCTCTACTGAGCAAACCAAGATCTGCAGTTACTCCAACAGACAAAAAGTAAAGATTAAGGGACTGAGGAGATGGCTTGTCATGTAAGCATGAGTATCTGCATTGGATCCCCAGCAGTCATAGCCAAAGCAGGGCATGGTGTTGGCACATGCCTGGTAGCTATCTACCTCAGTGTCGGGCACCCAGGCGGAATGATCTTTGAGGCTCATGGACCAGTCAGCCTCGTCTAACTGGTGAGTCCCAGACCCAGTGAGAGACTGCTACAAACAGATGAAAGTGGAGGACTTCTGAAGAATAACACCCTGGTTGACCCTTAGCTTCCACATGCATATGCACCAGCATGATACACATGCACTTGACATGCAGACACATGCACTAGCATGATACACATGCACCTGACATGCAGACACATACACATGCACACAGTTCTGTGAACTATGACTAAAGGTGACAAGTTTTGCCATGCTAGTTGCATCAAATTCCCAGAATGCGGTAAAACTAAACTATCCAGGCAGGGGACATAGAGACGCTGTTTGCTATTGCTGGACTAAGTACTCTTTTGTTAAAGAAATGATCAGTGAGTACTTTAAACAATATTATGTGAAATACCGATAATACTTAGAAGAACAAACTATTTTAAGTTCTTTCTAGTAGTTTAGAAATACCACTTATAGAGTTGAAATGGAGTAAAAATCCATTTTATATTTTTAGTAAACTGTGTAAAAACACTAAACCTATATTTTTTTTACATATGTGTGGTATAATAATGTATGGTATATAAATGCTCCTCTAATTTGACCAAACTAATAAGCTTTGAGTATACAATATAACCAAACATTATGTGAAATGGTAATGAATTAGCTTCAGTCACAAAAACATATAAGGTTTTGTGCAGTGACACCAGACATAGTAAATTCTTGTTCCTTATTCTAACTTCAAAATATAAAGTGCTTGTAAAAAGCTCCATCATGTTTCTTTCTTCATATTAACACTCTTAAAATGAACAGAATACTTAGCCAGGTAGTGGTGGTGCACATGCCTTTAATTCCAGCACTTGGGAGGCAGAGGCAGGCAGATCTCTCTGTGAATTGGAGGCCATTCTGGTCTACAGAGTGAGTTCCAGGACACAGAGAACTGTCTCGAAAAAATAAGAAAAAAAATAACAAAATACCAGTAATGTTTTCTGGAAAGTTACTTTAGAAATTAAATGCCACTGCCTGGGCATTACATCAACAGACAAGTCAGGAACTCCAGAGAATTGCAGGCATTGGAGTCAATTCAAGAAAAGAGGTCCAGGAAGGAGTGGCCGTTCCCACCAGCAGTGCTGAATGTGCTTCCTGTGACTAGGGTACTTACAGGCCATGAAAAGACAAACAGGTTGTATGTTCTCCTCAAGTTACCAGAAAACCATGCACTCAGAAAGCTACTCATTGTGTGTTCCCATGGCTGTGAGAGGGGAAAGGGGCCACCTGCCTTTGCTTCCACCACTGCAGGAGCTCACTGCACTTGGTCAGTGTGTCTGGAAGGCTGTTCCCGATTCTTTGACTGTTTTGACTTCACTAGCCCCATCATGCTCACTACTGTTCTGGGAGAAAACCCTTAAAAATAGGAGGGAAAGAGGAGTCGAGTAGGCAACTATCTGGGTAGAGACAAGGAAAACCAGGGGAAGCCTCTGCTAAGCCAGGCTACCTATACATGGGACCAGAGAACGGGATGGAAGGTATATTTTTGCGATCCTTTGTGTGTCAATCTGAGGCCAGCTGCATAGCTCCCTCTCACACACAACATGCTTTAAAATGTTTGAGACAGGGTCTCATACTGAGGCTTGCCTGGAGCTTGCTATGTAACTCAGGCTGGCTTTGAACACACGATCCTTCTGCTTCAGCCTCTCAAGTTCTCAGATTAGCAATGAGTATGACCAGGCTTGGTTTGCAATGTTATCTACATGGTTATTCAACCCATTAAATGTAGAGACAGACACACTCAAAATACTTACAATTATTTAACCATTACAAACACAGAGAAATATGTATAACAATAGACATTTGGCCACAGATAGCAAGATTAAAGGATATAAGTAGTATAACTGAGAAGTGAAAACAAACATAGGTGAGAGAATTGAAGAACAGATGTGGGAGAGGAGGGAGCTGAGAAGGGGTGATTTGAGTGCGGTGGGGAGTGAACAGGTGAGGTGGAGAACAAAAGAACAGGAAAGAGGTGCTCAGTAGAGCAGTCACAGACTGGACTGCTGGGTTTCTCTTTGCTCAAGACAGGCTTCAGTTATTCTCTGTGTTGAATGTGGGCTATGCTCCACAAGGATTAACCTACCTACCTCTGGTGGTCTCTTAACTCCCTGTGTGTAAAGCACCACCTACATAACCTCCCCTTTCCCTTCCTGTCTGGAATTGGGCTCCTGGCTCCATTTTTTCTGGGTTATTCCATGTGTCCTCAAATATGTGCCTAGTAGCATCAGTCCTCATAAAATGTGACTTGAAGTATTAACATAGAAATCCTTAAACTTATATGTGACCTTACATTTTTAATATTTCACCATAGAGCAGGCAACATGGGCAGATACAGAAAGGACAACAGCAAAAGGCAATATTCTACAAAGAAACTATTTCACCACTCAAAATGAAGCAGCCTTTGAGTGAAGAAGGATCTTGTGTTGGCTTTTCTTAAGGCACTTAAATTAGACATTTCAAATTTACAGCAATATAAAATCCAACAATTTAGCATCTACTCTCTTGAAATAATGACCCAATTAAGACACACCACTCATATACACAAAAAGAAAGGAAGCCCAGAAATAAGAATAATAAGGGCTTCAGAATAACTTATTAATACATGTTCCCCAAAAGGAGTTAGAAAACTAAGCTGGTAACAGTTCTACAGAGTAAAAACACATGCAGATATTTCTGAACCATAAAAGAAGCAGGGATAGTGATTGTAGACCCAGTTGAACCTTCACACTGGAGTGAGTCTCCAAGTGAGGGTTCTTCTCTTCAAAAGTAGTGAGATTATCGAGATTATCAGCAAAGTTCTCTCTTCTTGGGAGGGATGGGGAGTGGTCAGGTGTTAACATTTCAGTTCCATGCACAATCAGCCAACACAGGGACCAGATGTTGAAAGGATTCCAGCAGCCAGAACCCACAGCCCTCACTGCATGGCACAGAGGCTGTGTGGCAGAAACTCCTGCACGTAGGTAGCAGCTGCCTTGGAGAGGTAGGTCATTGTGCCAAATCTGCCACTGGGTGCGCTGTCATACAGAAGAGTACAGATGCCAGATGCAGGATCCTTTGCCAACATGACATCATCTGCGCCAAGGGTTTTCTATTTGGTTTTAAAAGATGGGAAAACAGTGGGAAGAAAGGTCACCAATCCTACTAAGCCAAACTCTGATGAATACACCTCAGAACTTCCTTCCCATTGCCAATTCTTTGGCTGTATAAGCAGAAGGGGCTCAGAGTTATGAAGGATGGATATGAATTTCTACACATGGCTTTTGTCACTAGACTCTAAATTATTTTAATTACTATTTAGAATTTTCTATTATAAAACATTTTTGAAAATTAAATATCAATTAATAATTGGTTAAATGATTCATGTCTGTTAATAACAGAAATAATGTTAGCACTTGGAAATAACCCAGGAGAACTACACAGGGACTTCCACCTTCTAGTACTGCTGATTTTGGCTTATATTCCTTCATATAGTATTTGGTTCCATTTCTTTATAAACCACCTTAATTCAAAAAGACTGTAGACATTCTAAATCTAAAGTCTATGTCTAAAATGGTTTATATTTTCTCATATGTGGCCTGATAACATCCCAGAACACTTAAAACTAGGACTGTTTAGAAAATCTTGGATATTTTGTCTTCTGTCACAGTGGGTAAGAGAAGGAAACATTTGTTGTATGTTCTGGGTATCATGTAGCCCAATTTGGTCTTGAACTCACTATGTAGCTGAAGCGGGCCTTGAATTCCCAATCCTCCTGCCTGCAACTCCTGGATGCTGTGACTGCAGGTGTGCACCACATTAGGGAACCTACCTGTTCTTGAAGGAACAAGTCATTGGCAATATGTACTATTTTTTCCACAGCAATGATGCTTCCAATGCTATGAATTTCAATATCTGCCAGCATGGTAAGGACAAGGATGGCTTCAACCAGAAGCTGGCGGTATTCTGGTTGAGGTACACGATTCAGGACAGACTCCACATGGACAGAGAATTTAATCTCGCCTGGGGTCATCTGTGATAGAAAAAGTGAAAATCAATTTCTAGAATCCCATCACCCAAGAATATCAAACCTTTTCTTTTAAGTGCAGTTATTTTGGGGTAAGTAGATTGAGAAATGCTTTTTGGTAAAATTGTATTGTTTATATTCTATAGAAGCAAGTATATTTGGAGTCTAAAGACAGGTTCAAAATTTGTATCAGGAGCAAATGACTTTGCATATCTTGGAAATCTCTAAGTTTGTTTCCTTATCTATAAACTTTCTGAGAAAGACATTCCCTTCTTAGGTGTCTTACAAAATTGAACTGAAAAATCAAATTAAATAATGTGAAAGTTCTTTGAAGACTCCTAAATGTATAAGGCTTACATTTTTACTATCAATATTTTAACATTGTTTAAATGCACAGAATACACCTGTTTACACAGGTAGTATGGTGTTCTTTATTACACAAAAGGCTTGTATGCAACAGTAGAGGTCTAAGACATTACACTTCACATTCAGTTCCGGCACATCCAGCTGATATTGCAACACCACCAGTTTTTGAGAATTTTATATTTTCTAAACTTACTAGTCCTAGTTTGTTAGTGCAAAATAGCAAAACATATGATAACCAGTGTCTGTGTTTCATGGCAATGTCTTCCAACCATGATTATTTATCAGTGTTAGTCTAGATTAAAAAATTATAAATGCTCAGGTTTCCTCTCTGGAAACTCTAATTCTCTAAGTTGGGAAAGAAAGTTACTCTAATACAGAGGTTCTCAACCTGTGGGTAGTGACTCCCCCTTGGTGCTATGTTGTGGAATATTACTTTAACTATGTAAAGGTGTGTTATATTTGTTTATGCTGCATTTAACAGTGTAAAGATGTATTGCTTTGCCTGCCCAGGGCATCTGATTGGTCTAATAAAAAGCTGAGCAGCCAATAGCTAGGCAGTAGAGGGACAGACAGGGCTGGCAGGCAGAGAGAATAAGTAGGAGGAGAGATCTAGGCTGGAGACAGAAAGGAGAGAAGGAGAGAGAGAGAGGAGGAAGAGAAAGGAGGGAGGAAGGAGAGGGAAGATGGAGAAAGGAAGGAAGGAGAGGGAGAGGGAGGAGGAGGAGGGAAGATGAAGAGGGAGGGAGGGAAGGAATGAGAATGATGGAGAAAGAGAGGGAGACATCAGGGCCACCCAGTTAGGCATCACCAGCCAGCTAGATGCAGAAGCATGAAAAGGAGGACATAGAGAATAAAAGAAAGGTAAAAAGCTCTGAGGAAAAATATAGATGAAGAGAAACAGGTTATTATGAAGAGCTAGTGGGACAAGCATAAACTAAGGCTGAGCATGCATAATTAATAGTTTCCATGTCATGACTTGGGAGCTGGCAGTCCAAGAAAGTTTACTACAGGGGTCACATAGCAGATATTTACATTATAATTCATCACTAACAAAATTACAATTATGAAATAGCAACAAAAACGATTTTATGGTTGGGGGTCACCACATGAGGAAATGTATTAAAGAGTTGCAGCATTAGGAAGGTTGAGAACCCCTGCTCTAAAATATGATTAGATGTCAATATCAGCACAGGTCTAAAAGTATCCTATTGGAGAAAGGTTGGGGTGAAAGAGATGGGAGAATATAAGAAGCCATTCATTCTTATGTTTGTCGCTTTTTTGCCTTCTCCAACTCCCAGTCTCACATAGAAAAAACTCAGTCATTGCAAAAAGTTATTCTTATTAATAAAACAAATAGTTATCCATGTTTATTATGTGTATGTGTGTGTTATATACATGTATGCAGGTTGGCAAATGTGGAAGTCAGAAGCTGACATGATGTAGTAATAAGGAACGGCGGGCTGCATTCCCACCCAGATCCCGGCTAGATTACCCGGAAATAATTACACAGAAACTGTATTCATTTAAACACTGCCTGGCCCATTATTTCCAGTCTCTTACTGGCTAACTCTCACATCTTGACTTCAACCCATTTCTAATAATCTGTATGTCACCACAAGGTGGTGGCTTACCAGGAAAGATTCAGCATGTCTGACCTAGCGGCTGGCTGCATGGCGTCTGCCTGACTCTGCTTCTTTCTCTTAGAATCCTGTTCTGTCTACTCCGCCTACCTATGTTCTGACCTATCAGGCCAAGCAGTTTTCTTTATTAATTAACCAATGAAAGCAACAGATAGATAGAAGACCCTCCTACATCAACATGAGATGCTTTTCTTAATTGTTTTCCTTTTTTTGAGGCAGGGTCTCTCACTGAACCTGGAGTATTCCATTTCAGCTAGACTAACTGGCCAGCAAGCACCTGCAATACACCTGTCACTACATCTCAGTGTTGGCATTACAGGCTTGCATAGCCATGCCCATTTTTATTTTACATGGGTGCTGGGGATGCAAACTCAAGTCCCCATGATTACTCAGCAAAATAATTTACTGATTGAGCCAGTTCCCCAGAACCATATTATTATTGTCTAATATTCCCATTCCATTGTTACATCCTTCATGCATTTCGAAGTCAATTGATTTTAGCATGAGTAGTAAAAAACTCAGAAACAGATACTGGGATTCAAGCTGAAGATCAGAAAAGCCAAGCAGCCAGCCACTAGAGAGATATTACCTCTACCAAGGCTCAGACAAACAAAGGGGTGATCCTGCAATGCTCTCCGCCAACCTCAGATTCCACACTTTGGTGCATTCCTGTCTCTTCCCCCTTATATTCCTCTCTCTGCCCAGCCATACTGCTCCTGTCTCCACCTCCCTAGTGCTGGGATTAAAGGTGTGCGATCCCAAGTGCTGGGATCACCTTTGTGTGAGCTCTGTTTCTCTTTTAGACAGATTCAATCTTGTGTAGCCCAGGGTGGCCTTGAACTCACAGGATTCCCTCTGTCTATCTCCCAAGTCCTGGGATTAAAAGCATGTGCCACCACTGCCTGGCCTGTATGGCTGACAAGCATGACTGCTTTGCCCTCTGATCTTCAGGCAAGCTTTATTTGTTAAAACACAAATAATATACCACTATAATTGATTCATAAAAGGATGGGTGTGTTTTTTGAAAACTAATTGATATATTTAGCTTCAATAATATAAATTCAATAAATATCAATTTCATAATTGATAACTGAAATATTTCAGACAGGCAAGCTTTCCATCATGTATATGTAAAGGATAGAACCTTACCTCCCTTGTGGTTGAAGAAGGAAGAACAAAACCTTCCACAGAAAGTCCATGACACTGCAAGGTAGAAAAACATGTTATGACCAGAGACGAAGTAAGAGCTGGGAGGCAAGAATGAAAGACTTCATATTTCTAAGTGTGCTTCACGGGTTATGATTTGAGCAACCACAGGCCAGCTAGAGGTTCTGTAGTCCATGTGCCCAAGCATGGGTTCATGATTTCTAAGTGCCAGGATTCAGGATGGGAACCATAGTTCGTCCTCTTCTTAGGGTAGTGGAGTGGGCAGGGTGGGTCTTTCTGGGATAGAGTAGACATAAGATTCAGAGACTACCTAGAAGAGTATCATGCAGGTCCCAGAGTCATTACCAGGAGGCCTTCAAGGCCTGGCAAGATGACTTGGCAGCTAAAAAGTACTTGCCAACAGCCAAGCAAGCCCAATAAAAAGAGTTTACTCCCATAATCCCAAGTAAAGGAGGAAAGGAGAACCTACTCCACAAAGTTGTACTCTGACCTCCACATGTATGCTATGGTATGTGCTTCCTACCATAGTGTGCACATGCACGCGCGCGCGCACACACACACACACACACACACACACACACACACAATTTTTTAAGAAAGAAGATAGGCCTTCAAGAGACTTAGGCTGCTGGACATGACTCACAGTATATATTAATGTACACGAGCCATTTCTACTTGTTCTAGTTGAGTCCCTTATCAATACTCTTATCCTGCCCTATTCTTCCACCACCTTTTAACATTTTAAATACATTATTTACTGTTTATTACTTATTGCAAGTAATATAAGTTCCACAAGAACAGAAATTATTGGCTATTTTGACTTTTGCAATAGGAACACCTACAACAGAGTCTGGTATACAGTAGATGCTCAATAAATACCATTATCATCATTATCATTATTTGAGACATGGTTACAAATCACCTAATCAGTCTCAAATTCACTATGTGGCTGAGGTTGTCTTTGAACACTGGAAGTCCTGCTCCACCTCCCTAGGTTCTTCAAGTACATTTGTGGAGCACCATACCTGAATCAATAGATACATTAAATTCTTTACTCTATTAATCATGTACTTTAGATTTCAAAGAAGCCAAAACACTATATAAAACAACCACACATGAGTGACAGGTTTACTGACTCTTTTGGACAATTACATGCAATATTCCATACTCAAGTAATCTCTGTACAGACAATTAGTAGCTTTGAAACATGTCAGAATTATTGTTACATTCATGCCTGGAAAGGCATGTGTTCTATCTCTTACTTTAAGACCCTAAGTCTGGTTGGTTAAAAAAATAATAATAACTGAGTGTGGTAGATCACAATTGTAATTCCAGCAGTCAGGAGGTAAAGGCAGGAGGATCTATTCAAGGTCATCCTTGTTTACTATGATACCAGCCTGAGATATATGAGACCCATCTCAGAAGAGAAAAAACAATCTGTATTTGTATAAATGAACCAATCAATGAGCACAATGGTCTTCCTGGCCCTCTACTATCACTACCATAATGGTGTGATATGTCCTTACAAGTCTTTTATAAAATATGCTTTAGAAATAGAAACAAATATTAATCACACCAAGAGTTTTATTTGGGTCTGGTGTGGTGGTGCATGCCAGCAATCCTAGCACTCTAGGAAGCTGAGGTGGGAGGATCTTGAATTGGAGGCCAGCCTGGACAATAACAAAATCCTGTCTCCAAATAAATAAATCAGAGTTGGAGAGTTGGCTCAAAGGTTAAGAGCATTTGCTACTTTTGCAGAAGACTCAAGTTCAGTCTCCAGTACCCACATGATGGCTCACAACCAACTGCCTCTAATTCTAGTTCCAAAGGATCTGATGTCATCTTCTGTCCTCTGTTGGCACCACATATGTACACACACACACACATACACACATGAATGCATGCATGCATGTATGTGTGTATATATACACACACATAAAATGATTAAATATAAAAAAAATTAACAATAAAACAAGAGTGTGCTTTAACTACTAGTATCATTGCAGCTTTCCATTACTTTAGTGGTTTTCATCTAAGAAAAAATATCAGTAAGAGCAACTTCTGCAAACTCCCCATATACTTCACTGTTTTGTTTGTTTGTTGTTTTGTTTGTCAAGACAGGATTTCTCAAAGATCAACTTGCTTTGCCTCCAGAGTATTGGGACTAAAGGCATGTGCCACCGTTCTTGCTTCCACCTACTTTAGGGTAGTGACATATGGATATGAATAGCTTAGAGCTGCAAATAACATTTCCACCCTCATAATAACAACAAAGAAAGTGAGCTACTTAGCATCACATTATTTACTCGAAGCAAATGCAGTGCAAAATCTCACAATGCTCAACTATGGCCCAAAACAGAGAGGGTATGATTTTTAAAACTTTATTTAGAAACACTACCCCCGGGTAATGGTGGCTCACACCTTTAATCCCAGCACTCGGGAGGCAGAGACAGGTGAATCTCTGTGAGTTTGAGGCCAGCCTGGTCTACAGAGTGAGTTCCAGGACAGGCTCCAAAGTTACAGAGAAATCCTGTCTCAAAAATACCAGAAAGGGGAAAGAAAACAAAAGAGAAAGAAATAATACTACTGCAACAATAAGAACAATAGAGTAAATTATTAATAATGCCACAGTGATAAATCAATTTTTCCTGTTTTTGTCATGTAATGGTTATGCCACATGTCAGCAAGACATATTCACAATTTTAAGAGGGGAATAAAGAACAACACTGTGTTACACTCACTTTTTGCAAAATTTTCCATACTTTTTGATAAAATCCGATCGGTACTCTATTTAGTGCTCCATCTAGTCTTCTCCGCCGTTGCCATTGACCTTGACGACTGTCTCTAGATGTCTGTTGACTATACACAGCAGGAAAGGATCCACTACTTGCAGCAATACAGGCTGCAGGTGACTTGGGAGAAGAAAGAATGTAAGTCAAAAGTGATCACTGCCCACGTGGTCAAGTATCATAACAGTTATATTTTAAATTCAAAACCTGCATGTTCTAACATATAACAAAGAGAATAGTAAATACTCTATAAAATGAGAAAGCACATGAAAGAGTCAAAGTAACAATGTGACTAAAGCTTGTAGTGTTGTAACATTGTATAAACATTTAAAATTATTTCGTTTATTTGTTGAGATTATAGTATAATTACTTCATTTCCCCCTTCAATTTTCTCCTTCCAAAGCCTCCAATATGTCCATCCTTGCTTCCTTTTCAAATTGGTGACCTCTTTTTAATTGTTGTCATATACATATATGTATCCTAAATATAAAATACAACCTGCTCTAGAACTCTCAACAGTGGAACCTAAAATGGCTGAAAGACACTTAAGGAAATGTTCAACGTCCTTAGCCATCAGAGAAATACAAATCAAAACAACTCTGAGAGTCCATCTTACACCTGTAAGAATGGCCACGATCAAAAACACTGATGACAACTTATGCTGGAGAGGATGTGGGGTAAAGGGAACACTCCTGCATTGCTGGTGGGAGTGCAAACTGGTACAATCCCTTTGGATGTCAGTGTGGTGATTTCTCAGAAAATTAGGAAACAACCTTCCTCAAGACCCAGTAATACCACTTTTGGGTATATATCCAAAGGATGCTCAATTGTGCCACAAGGACATGCGCTCAACTATGTTCATAGCAGCATTGTTTATCATAGCCAGAACCTGGAAACAACCTAAATGCCCCTTGACCGAAGAATGGATAAGGAAAATGTGGTACATTTACACAATGGAGTACTACACAGCAGAAAAAAATAACATCTTGAACTTTGCAGGAAAATGGATGGAGCTAGAAAACATTATTTTGAGTGAGGTGACCTAGACACAGAAAGACAATTATCACATGTACTCACTCATAAGTGTTTTTTAAACATAAATCAAAGAAAACCAGACTACAAATCACAATCCCAGAGAACCTAGACAACAATGAGGACCCTAAAAGAAACACACATGGATCTAATCTACATGGGAAGTAGAAAAAGATAAGATCTCCTGAGTAAACTGGGAGCATAGGAACCATGGGAAAGGGTTGAAGGGGAGGGGAGAGGTGGGGGGAGCAGAGAAAAATGCATAGCTCAATAAAATCAATAAAAAATACAACCTGTTTAGTTTGTATAATGTTACTCGAATGTATGTGTTCAGGGCTGACCATTTGATACTGGATAATTAATTGGTGTGCTCTTCCCTGGGGAAATTTACAATCATTTTATAAAGTACTCTGGTGATTCAGAGTAGCAATGATAAAAATACCAATAATACAGGTCATTTTCTGTTTATCTGGTTTATTCTAATTTCACGCTGTCTATGGTTTTGTTTGTCACTCTCATGACTTTTAACATAAGTCTCTGTATGTTACTTTTCTATTGCTGTGATAAAACACTGTGACCATGGCAACTTATAAAAGTAAGCATTTAACTGGGCTATGATTCCAGAGGGTTAAGAGTCCATGCTGGACGACAGTGAAGGCACTAAAAGTTCCAAGAGGATTAGATAGGAGAAAACTTGTGTTTTAAACAAACGGTGCTGAATAAGTGGCTAGCACATGCTAAAAAATGAAGCTGCATTCTTTTGCACACCATATGCAAATATGAGAGCCCAAAGGAATTGTTTGGGGGAAAAAAGACAAAAATCCCTGAAATAAATAAAACCACAAAAAGGAAAATTAAGATAAACAAGCAAAAGACGAGTAAGACAAAAATCCCATACCAAACAAAACGTTACATCCACAGAAAAACAAAACACCAAAAACTCAAAACCAAAAAACTCATGGAGTACATTTGTGTTGCCATGGGGCCTGCCCTTGAGAGTGGTTAAAAAATAGAGTCAACAAGGCAAACCAGAACACAGGAGTGTTGCCCTTGCAAGTCATTTTTACAGGTTTGGCACTTGCACTGGAGTATGGAAATGTGGCCTTTGGGAGGGATTATGTCAACACTGCAGTTTATGTACAACATCTGCTCTCCTCCTGGGAGTCCAGAGTTTGGGGATATGCTGGACAGAGGCTGTTTACATGACCAGTCCCAAACAAAAAGCCTGGGTTCTGTGCTGGGTCTTTAATTAGCTATTCTGCTCAGCAGCACTTACGCTGTAACATGGCACTGGAGGAATTGTAATGCATCCTATATGGTTCCGCTGTGCGAGCACTCTAGAATCTTGTGTGTTTTTCCATGGGCTCCACTCAGTGCACCATTTTCTTTCCTGATTTTGTTATCCTTTAGTTGTACTAATCATACCTTTATGATCATATGATTAGTCCTGTGACTCCTAGTAAATTTCTGAGGCTGGAGATGGTCTTAGGGAGTCCTCCCTCCTAATACAATTATAGCCCCAAATTTAAGAGCTAACGCTATCTTAATAAAATCGTTAAAATATAGCATATAGTCCAAAATAGCATTACATTTTTGTGGTGTTGATTTAGATAACAATTTCTTAGATGTGAATGACATGAGTAAAAATAGAAAATGGAAGGTAAAACAGAAGTCTTTAGTTCTTCCAAGAACATAAGTAGAAATGAAAAGGAAATCCACAGAAGGAGAAAATATATGCAAATCACATATTCTATAAGGATGCTGTATTTAGAATATAAAAAGAATCGTTGTGACCCAAAAATGTAAAAATCCCTATTTAAAATGGATAAGGAATCAGCGAAAGGCAAAGTAAAACTACTTTGACATTCTGAGTCATTGGTTAATTGGCTATCATTAAGAAAACAGTCTGATGGTGGTGGTGGTGGTGACGCACACCTTTAATCCTAGCACTGAAGAGGTAGAAGTAGGTGGATCTCTGTGATTCCGAGGCTAGTCTGGTTTATAAAGTGAGGGCAGCCAGGGATATACAGAGAAACCCTGTCTCAAAAACAAAAACAAAAATGAAAAAAAACCCCAAAATGTTCAAGTGAATGAATAAATAAATAAATAAATAAATAAATTCTGGCAAGGATAATGGGATCAACCTAGATGCCTACCAACTGATGAGTGAATAATGAAAATGTGGAACACACACACAATGGAACTTTAGCTGCAAAGAAAAATGAATTATGAAAATTTGTAGGAAATAGATATGACTGGAAATTATTGAGGTAATCCAAACTCAGAAATACAAATACTGCATGTCCTCTCTTATATGAGTCTATCCTATCCATTAGTGTTTATATATGTATATATGTGAATGCAAGTACTTTAGTTAGGTATTTTTTTCACAGCGACAGGAAATTAACTATACTCTGAGAGAAATGAAAATACACAGTTTTGGTTAATTTTGTGTCAACTCAACACAAGATAAGAGTCATTTGGGAAGAGCGAATCTTAATTAAGAAAATGCTTTTGTAAGATTAGGCTACAGGAAAGCCTGGAATGCATTTTCTTAATTAGGGATTAAGGGAGGGCCCAGCCCATTGTGGGTGGTGCTATCCCTGGGCAGGTGGTCCTGAACTATGTAAGAAAGCAGGGTTAACACTCCTTGGGAAGAAAGCCAGTAAGCAGCACTCTTCCCTGCCTCCAGATTCCTTGCTTGTTTGAAATCTCGTCCTAACTTCCCTCAAGAATGAACTGTGAATTGTGATGTAAATTTAAATAATCTTCCCTAAATTGCTTCTGGGCATGGTATTTTATCATAGCAATAAATACCCTAAGACACATACCTATGTAAAAATCTGTACATACAGGTTAATAGCAACACTGTGCATAAAACCATTCAGATATCCATGAACTGATGAGCAAACAGATAAAGAGAATGTGGTGTAACAATACAATGATTATCATTCTGCAATAAAAATGAATGAAATAGCAATATTTATGACTATATAAAGAACCCTGAAAAAATTATGCTAAGTAAAAGAGGAAATTTATTGGTTAAAGTGATTATTTGACAGACTAAATTCAGAAATAAATACAAAATAAAGGATTATAGAAATACTTTCCAAGAAAATAACTTCTCTTTTTTAATTTCCTAATTCACTAATGCCGTCATTATTAACATGAAAATCACAGAGCTGGCAAACTCCTCCTTATTTAATGCCGGGTTACTCAAAATATTAAAGTTACTCAAAATATTATTTCCAAAAGATCTCTTCTTTGTTTAGCCCAAATTTCTTCAGTTTGAAAGAAATTGAATCATAACTTGTTATGATTTAAACCAGACAAATATATATGATAAAAGTTCATTATATGTATAAGAAAATATCATAGTAAAATTAATTATTTCATAGTGACGGATGGAGATAGAGACAGAGACCCTCATCAGAGCAAGGACTGAGCTCCCAAGGTACAGTTGAAGAGCAGAAGGAGGGAGAAGCAAGGAAGTCAGGACTGCGAGGGGTGTGTCCACCCACTGAGGCAGTGTGCCTGTTCTAATGGGAGCTCACCAAATCCAGCTGGACTGGGACTGAACGAGCATGCAATCAAATTGGACTTTCTGAATGTGGCTGACAATCGGGGCTGACTGAGAAGCCATTGATAAAGGCACTGGGACTTGTTTTTACTGCATGTTCTGACTTTTTGGGAGCCTAGTCTATATGGATGCACAGCTTCCTAGGCCTGGATGTAGGAGAGGGGGGCCCTTGGACTTCCCACAGGGCAGTGGTCCCTGCCCTCTCTCAAGCAGGGAGGGGGAGTGGGAGGGGAATGGTAGGAGGGGAGGAAGTGTAAATTTTTGAATGGAAAAATAAAAAAATGATAAAAAACCAAAAACCCACACAAGAATAAAACAAACAAAAATAAATATAAAAACAGAAAAAGTAAAAAAAAAAACTTCCTAAATTGTGAGCTTCATCGAATAATTTCCATTTTGTTCAATGTTGTATCTCCAGTGCATGACATAAAGTTGGCATTTAGTCATATTACTTCTTAGAGGATCAGCCACAACAGAGTAACTTTGAAACTTAAAAGTGCATCAGAATCCCTAAAGAGCTTATTAAAACAGATTGTTGGGGCTTAGCCCAGTCTTTCTAATTCAGTATCACTAGGATACAGATCAAAATTTGGTTTTTCCTTTTTTTAAAGAATTATTTTTTATAAAACAATCTTTTCTCATTTTATATATCAATCCCAGTTCCTACTCTCTCCTCTCCTCCCGCGTCCCCCCCACCTTCCCTCCATGCCACCCCCCCCATCCACTCCTCAGAGAGGGTAAGGCTTCCCATGGGAGTCAACAAAGTCTAGCACATCGTTTTGGGACAGGATTTTTCAAATACATTACAAACTTATGTTGATGTGGTTTAGTCCACTGTCTGATGCACACTTTCATCAGTTCAAAGAATGAATATATACATAACAAAAGTTTTTAATTGATTATTTTTCTGAAATAAAAAAGAGGTTGGAGTTGAACTCCCTTTCCTACCTTATTAGGAAAGAAACAGACCACTCCCTTTTATATGGAGTTGATCTATAGTCATGTTAGTTCAAGATCAATTTGTTTTTAATTATTTATTTTTTAGTTTTAGATTTATTTTATGTGTATGAATGCATACCACAGGAGTACCTGAAAGTTAAAGATGGCTGTGAACCACCATGAGGTTCTGAGAATGGAGCCCAGGACTTCTGCAAGAGCAACAGGTGTTCTTAACCACTGAGCCACTTCTTCAGCCCCTAATTTGTTTTTTTGTATATACTCAAATACTTTCTTATGATCCACATAACAGCATATCAAAGCACTTGTGAATGTAACATGAGATAACACAAGATTAATTACCAGAAAGGATGGTGACATCAAATCTACACCTGAGGGATGACCATCACTAGTCTATAAAAGAAATTGAGAAAATAAAAAATTTAGAGAGGCAAGGCAACAATTATTTGTTTTAAAAAATATTATTATTAAACTACAGACAATTTAAGTAATTAGCCAGCATGTTATAAAAAAGCCAATAAAGTATGTTTACTTCAAATGCCATGGCAAAGAATAAAATAAGTAAAAACTACCCTGAAATATCTTCACCTATAAATTAGAATACTGGGAACTGGCAGAAAAAAATACAAAATACCAGACAGGCAGGTAAGGATGGAAAGCAAAATGTTATAAAATAAGAAAGTAATGACAATCTAGGCTCTCTATCCTCTATATTATAGCCCTAACAATTTGGGCCCCTTTGAAGACCTATAGGTAGTAAATACGTAGGAAAAACCCTCAGGTAGCTGGAAAGGTCACGTTTACCATCACTTTCATCTAGCTGGCATCATGAACTTTTGAGTTCCAATCACATAAAGAATTTATAAATAATACTGGACATCTATAAAAGTTATAATGTGAGCTGGGTGTGATGTTACATGCCTTTAATTCTAGAACTTTGGAGGCAGAGGTAGGAAGCCAGCCTGGTCTACAGAGTTTACTCCAGAACAGCCAGGCTACATAGTGAGACCTTTTCACAAGAAAACAAAATAAAACAAAACAAACCCCAAAACTATTGTCACTGTCAACCAAAACTAGGATCATTAATCACATCGATGAAGAACTTCTCAGCACTAAAGCTGTCCTTTCCACTTCCAAATAGGAAAAAGGTCAGGTAATTAAAATTTCCTGGCAAAAACTGTAACATGAACACTTGTTTAAAAACAGAGTAGCTTCTTTTTTTTCCTCTTAAACTATTTTTGATATTTTCATTTTATGAGTATGAATGCGTTTTGCATACATGTATGTCTGTATACCACATGCATACAGTACCCATGGAGGCCAGAAAAAGGTGCCAGGTTCTCTGAGGCTGGAGTAACAGATTGTAAGACACTATATGGGTGTTAGGAATTGAAGCCAGGTTTTCTGGATGAGCAGCCAGTGCTCTTAAGCACTGAGCCATCTCCCCAGCACTATCTTCTTATTACATCTTTCCCTTGTATAAAATATGAACACCAGAGGATATTTAAGGAAAGCACTCAAGTTTCCTTCAAAAGTAGGCTTCAAGCACTGGCATATTCTCCTAAATGGTTTCAGAGTCCCCTTTTAAAAGAAACAAAATATCTGTTTTGCCTCTTCTATCAAGGATATTTTGAATGTGTAGGCTATTATAATTCTACTTTGAAAGCAGAAGGGGATTTTAAGTCTTTCTTAAGAAGTGCTATTAATAAGTACAGAAATGATCTCTACGAGTATAGTCTTTAGGTCATAGGCCCTAGGAAAGAACTTACTACTGTCATCTGTCTAAATGGGCATAGCATCAAACTGCCCCCTAAGTACTCATGTTCATTCCAAGATTAGTGCAAGAAGCTTCTTTTTACAGTAGGTGGTGGTTAATATAGAGACCCACATCTGGTTATCATGAAGAGAATAAGAGACCGCGGAGTGCTCAGCCCTAAATGGGACATCTATATTATATATACACTCTCAAGGCTCAGGAATCACTGCAGAAGAGAGAGTGGAACAGTGTTTTCCAGAAATGACATGGCTGTTGCACACATGAACTCATAGCATGCATAAAATCAAGTCTGCCAAAATCTAAGCGTGGAAAGGGAGGGGCTCAGAAACTCCACTCTCAAATGAGCTATTGGTAGTTGATGGCTGCTGGGGGAAGAAACGTCAGTTCCCTTTATGGATGTGGTCCCTAAAAGGCTGCTCATGCTTCAGTAGACAGCCCTACACCTTCCCACACATAGCACTACTCAGTGGACTCAATGGGTTTGAAAAAAAGAGTACATGAAGTTTGTGAGAGGAAAGCAGAGGGGCATATGGAGAAGGTGGAAGGGAAGGACTGAGGATCAGACTTGATCAAAATGTACTATAGGCACGTGCAAAATTCTCAAACAGTAAAAAAGTAGCGCTACTAGAAGGGATTAAATTAGCACCTTCTCAACTTGGAGACCTTAAAAGACTATGATTTCCCAGAATTTTAAAAGCTATTAAGTATTTCTTTGTCTAACACACCAAGTCATCCATTGTTTCCTACAGTGAAAGGCCAAATCGTTTGGTGACTCCTATTGATTCCTAGTCCTGTGCAGCTGTTCCTCCTCTTCATATATTTGTATCATTTAATGGTTCTCTCTTATAGTAGTAAGAAAGCCTATTTTGTGTTAAAAATCTCATAAAACCATCCTGGCACTTATTTTTATGGTGTTTGGGATGAAACCCAGGGCTTTGCACATGTTAACCCCCCAAAAGAGATTAAAAACAAAGCCTTCATCTAATCTGGTATTCTGTCTAGTACTTTTTTTTTGGAGACATTGTTTCTCTGTGTAGCCCAGGCTGTCCTGGAACTCTTTCTTTATAGACCAGGCTGGCCTTGAACTCAAAGATTCACCTGCCTCTGCCTCCTGATTTCTTGGGATAAAGGTGTGCGCCACCACCACCTGGCATACCATTTTTTTTAAAATTTTTGAAGGACTAATATATTTTCAAAATTTACGTGTATGCATGTTTTACCTTCATGTACATATTGTAGTATTATGTGTGTTCCTGGTGCTATAGGCTATAGGCTATAGGAGCCAGAAGAGGGCACCTGATACTCTGGAACTACAGTTAATGACAGGTGTGAGCCACCATGGATGTACTGAGAACTGAATATGGCAGCAAGTATTCTTAACCACTAAGACATCTCTCTGGCCCCCATTTTAAAAAGAGATTTCTTTTTATTTTATGTCTATGAGTATTTTCTCTGCATATACATTTGTGTACCACGTGCATGCAGTGGAAGACAGCACCAAATCTCCTGGAACTGGAGTTACAGACGGTTGGGAGCCAGTCTGTGGGTGCTAGGAAACAAAACCAGGTTCTCTGCAAGAGCAACCAGTGCTCCTAATGCTGAGCTGTCTCTCCAGCTAGCTAGTCTTAGAAGCAGGAAGTCTATCACTTTTATAAATAAAATCCATTATAAATTGCACATTACTTGTAATAAGGGAACCCAGGGTTTCTTGTTATCTGTCGCCAGTGACATTCCTCCAAAAATTAAGTCATTTGATCCAGAAAAAAGGGAAAGCTATCGACAAATAGTTGCTATGAGGGAAATCCCATGGCTCGTTATTACTCGTGGAAAGCTCATAATCATGCATGCTGTATGGAACTGAAGAAAGGTTAAAATAAGTTTAAAAAGTCTTTGTTGTTTCACCTGACTCTCAGTAGAGACAGACAGTCTACGAAATTCCACCTGAAAAATAAATGGTTCGAGTTATACTGAGGATATAAAGCTAAATAAATCATTCTAACAAAGTTTGATTCTAAAATAATGTTGTGGTTTTGATTTTGTTTTTGGACAGCATCTCCAGGATTCTGGACAGGCCTTCATCTTGCTTCCTAGCTGAAGCTGTTGCACCGTGACCTCTTGCTCCTCCAACCTTTATGCCCTGCATGTGGGGTTATAGGCTTGCACCACCATGCCCAGCTAAGAATATTATTAATTATGACTACATCAATATTTTTTAGGTTATATATTACCTGCTTTATCTCACTTTTTAACTGCATGATTCCAGTTCGTTCTGTTTTTGTTGCTCCAACAGCACCAATCTCATGGATGGAAATAGCAGGACTCACATTTGAATCAATGGGACGAACTGTACAGAATGAGAGATAAAAAGAAGAATCTGTCTACTTTTCTTTGCCATGTTAAAAAGACTTAAATGTGCATCTTCCTTTTGTTTTTAACTTAAAAAATCCTAGTGCAACCTTGCTGTTTCAGTGTAGTTCTTGGACCAGTACCATTAGCACCACAGGTCCCATATCAGGCCTACTAATTCAGAATCTGCATTTCAGAAATACTTCCAGCCGGAGGAGTATTATTTTCTAACTTAAAAAATTTATTTTTATTATTTTTATTTGTCTGTGTGCATGCATGCACATGCATGCATGTACATAAATGTATGCCATGTATGTGCAGAAGAGGGAGTTGGATTCCGTGGCTGGAGTTAAAGGCAGTTGTGAGCTGCTGTACACAGGTGTTGGGAACTGAACTTGGATCCTCTGGATGAGCAGTAAGTACTTGTAGCCACTGTGCTGTCTCTTCAGCTCCTGCTTTCTAACTTTTGTGGCGAGTGGAGGAACTCCTAAGTGAATGAAGTCCTGAGTGAATGTGCTGTTGACACTGGCATGGCAAGGTTTCAATACCTCAGCCCCATGGGTGTGAGTGTCAAAGCATTCCACAGGTGAGGGTTAGAGGGATAGAAAAGTCTTCCTTGGTGATCTGAATGTCAATATTGATAGTGTTTGCAGAAAATGTCCACCTTAGTTTTTTTTCCCCAGATGTTTACAGCCTTAAGACTGTTCCTATGGAGATTTAGCTAAACCTGCCTTCTTGTTCAGTTGTGTGAACCTCTCGGTTCTACTGTATATAGTAAATATAATGAGCTTTGGGGATGCTGTGGTTTCTCCGTCAGAGCCCAATCCGCTGATTTCAGCTTTTCTGTGTGTCTGTACATATTTGTCTTTTCTTCACTACCTCATCACCCCAGTCAGATATGTCCCTGGAAACCATGCAAGGGCACAACAGACTTAAAAAAACAAAACATGCCGAAGTCTGGCCATCCTGTCTTGAAAAAATAACTCAACATTAATAATTAAATATAGGAGATAATCCTTTTTTTTTAAAAAAAAACTTTGTTAGGTTCTTGTTCTTCTTCTTTAAAAGAATAATGCTTCAAAAACCCAAAGTACACACTGGTTTTGATTGACACATGCTGTATGTATGTGCTAAAGTAAAGCTTGCAGTTTCAGTGGTATATAAAATTAAAACCTGTTAATAAAAATGTAAAAAGTGCACATGAAGATAAACTTGTAAAAGACTCGTAGAGATATTAGAATTTAAGGTTGAAAGGATACACTGGATATGCTGCAACTGCAAACATACACGTACACCCATAACATTACCCGTTTTACTGAATTACTGCCAATTTGAATATAATAAAGATTCAGAATGGATTTTTAGTTGTGTTCCTGACTTAGGATAATAAAAGGTAATTTATTACATAGTTAAAGAAACATGAGGGCCAGTAAGATGGCCCAGCAGGTGCAAGCACTTGCTACGAAGTCTGATGACCTGAGTTCAATCCCTGGGACCCACACGGTGGAAGCAGAGAACCAACTCCTGCATGTTGTCCTCTGGCCTCCACACACGTGCTGTGGCGCCCCTCCCCCAACACACACAGACAGACAATAAATAAGTAAGCGCAAATAAAAATTTTAATGAAACATGACAGCTATTAATTTACTTAGTTGTCATATCATTTAAGGAAAAAGAAGAGCTACATATATGCTTGTATTTTTCCAAATCTTTTAAAAAAAAGTGTGTGTGTGTGTGTGTATGGTATATGTATGCGTGGGGGGGGGAGAGAGAGAAAGCAAACATGTTGCTAATGGTGTGCATGTGGAGGTCAGAGTAGAACCTTAAGTGTTGGACCCTGACTTCAACCTTGTTTGAGACAGAGCCTCTCTTAATCAATGATGCATATGCCAGGCTAGCTGGCCATAAGCTTCTGAGATTCTCCTGTCTCTTCTTCCCATCTCCCCTGGCAAGTTTTGTTTTGTTAATTTAACAGAAACTGGAGTCATCTGAGAAGAGGGAACGTCAATTGAAATAATGCTTTCAACAGACTGTCTATTGGGCATTTTCCTGATTATTGATGTAAGAAGGCCCAGGATATTGTGGGAAGGTGGTATAAAGAACTGACTAAGCGTTCACCCACGGATACAAGGGGACGGATCTAATGAGAGCTCACCAAGGCCAGTTGGACTGGGACTGAACGAGCACGTGATCCAACCAGATTCTCTGAACGTGGCCGGATTCTCTGAATGTGGCTGGCAGGGGGTCTCTCTGAAAAGCCATTGACAATGACACTGGGACTTGTTTCCTCTGCATATACTGGATTTTTGGGATCCAGTCTGTTTGGATGCTCACCTTCCTGGACCTGGAGGGAGGGGGGAGGAACTTGAACTTCCCACAGGGCAGGAAATCCTGACTGCTCTTAGGGATGGAGAGGGAGGAGGAGAGGGAGTGGGGGGAGTGGGAGGGTGTTGGGAAGAGGGGTGGAAATGGAAACTTTTATAAATTAATAAACTTTTATAAATTTTAAAAAAAAGAACTGACTAAGTGAGCCATGAGGAGCAAGTCAGTGAGTATCATTCCTCCAAGGCCTCCACTTCAGTTCCTGAAGTGCATGGAAACCAAATAAACCTATTCTTCTACAAGTTGCTTTTGGTCATGGTGTTTACCACACTGATCTAGGTAAACTAGGACAAGAGTGAGCTAGAATTACAGACACAAGCTACTGAGCCCAGCTTTTGTAGAAGTGATAGATCCAAACTCAGGTCATCAAGTGTGTGTGGCAAGCACTTTACCCACTGAGCCATTTCCCCAGTCCAAAATCTTTTCTTAAATTGAATTTGTCTTTTAGTTTACAAATCTTGTTTCAAAAGATAGCTTTGTTTTTAAATGTTTTATACATTTAAGCTTTATTTATTTATCTGGGAGACAAGATCCCCTCTGTTAGAAGGAAAACATCCTAAAATGGAAAATTAAAATGAAATACCCTGAAGTATAATTTCAGTGCTTGGGTCTTACCACTTCGTTCCACTCCAAACTCTTTGCCACTGAGGATGTGATGCAGGAGGTTCTTCATGGCAGAAGGACTCAGATTCATCAGGCCCTCTGTGGCTTCTTCAGCTAATGAACAGAAATGCAGGCAGAAGGAATTTTAGTTTGCCCACCATATCCTCCTTATTTTCCATTCTCTCCTTGAAACAGGATCTCAATATGTAGCCTAGGGTAGTCTTTTTTTTCTCAAGACATAGTTTCTCTGTGTAACAGCCCTAGCTGTCCTGGAACTCACTCTCTAGACTAGGCTGACTTTGAACTCACAGAGATCCCCCTGCCTCTGCCTCCCAAGTGCTGGGATTAAAGGTGTGCACCACCACTGCCTGGCCCAACCAAGGCTAGTATGTCATCCTCCTGCCTCAGTCTGTAATGTGACAGAATTGCAGGCACATGTGACAGAATTGCAGGCACATGAGAAACCACACTTAGTTTCTCACTTGGATGTGCCCTCTTGTCTCCTCTTAGATGGGGATTAGACCCTCTATTTCCTTTCATAGGATTTCTAAGTCACTTACTTTAGAAGATGCAGTTACAGAATAAATTTCTAACACCATACAATTGGTTATTCATAAGCACCACATTTTTAATTATTTAAGAACTGACTACCTAGATTTTAGATTAGGTTGCCCACTAATTTCTTCTTCATCCTATTTCCACATTGCTGGGTAACTCCATACAGTTTTTATTTGAGGGTGAGAAGAATGAAGGCTATCAAGAGGAATGGAAGACATTCAGAGAAAAGCAAGGAATGTATATGCACACACTGTTAAACTGAAAATTTCTCGGAGTATATGGTTAAAAAAGAAGAGAGGTGAGTCTGTGAATTTATGTGAATTTACTAAGAATACTGAAAATAACTTGAACATGTTCTTCAATATTATTCGTTTACTAGGAGCATACTACATTGTAGAGGACCGCAACCACATTCGCCATTCCAAGATGGCGCTGACATCCAGTTCCACTGCGCGGTGAACAGGATAATGCGCATGTGTTGGCAAATTTCCAACGCTGTAGTCCCTGCCTCTCCCGAGGCGTCATCTGGGATGATGTGCAGCTGACCAATCTGAGAGTGACACGTCCGAGGCGGGGACTGTTTCCTATATAAGGGCTGGGTTCGCCTCGCTCTGGGTCTCCGCCATGTTGGCTTATGCTCTCGCTCTCAAGACGCATTAAAAAGCTGTTCTGCAGAAGGATCCTACGTGCCCTGCGTTGTTCTTGCTGGCAAGACAGTAGTGCGGGACATCTGGTGCCGAATCCCTCGGGACGCTGAGGGACCCTGACAACTGCTCGCACCGCCGGAGACCCCTTGGACACAAGGAGGATTCAGAACTGCAGGTCTGTATACTCAGAGAGATATGGCTTTTCCTGGATTTTTCGGTTTTGGGCTTGACTTGTTTCCGCATTGGGAAGGTTTCGTAGGGGCCTTGCTACCTCTTTTAGTAGTCCTCTTATTTTTTGCCAAAGATTGCTTAAAAGACGAATCCTGCCAGGCGGTTGCTGCAACGGAGGAAGTCCAGGATAGCATTTCAGAAACTGAGTACAGTGAGAGGTTAGGTGCGCGCACAGTCTCAAATAAGGAAAAAGGACCCTCCAGTGGTTTTAAGAAAATAAGAATGGGGGAGAGGACTGACTTACAAGGTCGAAAGATTTCTGGAACCAACAATAAGAAAAAAGGAAAGGACAGTAGTTTATATCCTCTGCAGGAGCTTGAAGCTCTGCAAATTGAAAGTGACCATGAAAGTGAGCATGAAAGTTCTGGCTCAGGAGAAGAGGTAGAAGAACTAGATACAGAGGAGGAGGCAGAATTAACCAGCGGTAGGGCCATGAGGTCATCCCAAAGGGCCCATCCACAGGTCCTAAGGGAAGCCTACCCATTGCTCATTAAGAGTTTACAGCTATGGGGTCTTCAAATAGCTGCTGAGAAGGTCCAGATTACAGACACTGGCCAATTCTTAGGTTCTGTTATTCTTCCTGAAAAGATTCTACCACAAAAAATAAAAATTTATAGGGACGATTTGCGAACATTAAATGATTTCCAAAAGTTGTTAGGAGATATTAATTGGCTGCGACCGTTTTTAAAAATCCCCTCTGCTGATTTGAAGCCATTGTTTGATATCTTGGAAGGGGATACTCATATTACCTCCCCTCGGGCCTTGACGCCGGCGGCAGAAGCAGCCTTATTACTAGTGGAGGAATCCATTAAGGAGGCACAGCTGTGCCGTATTGATGAAACTCAACCATTTGTTCTATGTGTGTTTAAAACAAGAAAGCTACCCACTGCTGTGTTATGGCAGGATGGACCGTTACTGTGGATCCATCCGCATGCTTCTCCTAACAAAAGTATTGATTGGTATCCAGCTGCTATAGCTCAAATTGCCCTTAAAGGCCTTAAAATGTCTGTTAGTCATTTTGGTAAGCATCCAGCGGTTATGATAGTTCCCTATACCTCCTTTCAGATACAAACTTTGGCCGCCACCTCTGACGATTGGGCAATTTTGGTTACCACCTTTTCAGGAAAAATTGATAATCATTATCCCAAACACCCTCTGCTGCAGTTTGCTGCATGTCATCCCATTGTGTTTCCCCGAGTTACGTCTTCTGCCCCGCTAAAAGACGGGGTGATGGTGTATACAGATGGCTCCAAAAATGGTGTGGGAGCCTATGTTGTGGATTCTAAAATATATACAAAGAACTTTTCTGCCACCTCACCCCAGATGGTGGAATGTATGGTGGTTTTAGAGGTTCTTCAAAAATTTCATTGTCCTCTTAATATTGTTTCTGATTCTGCCTATGTGGTTAATGCTGTTAAATTATTAGAGACTGCTGGAATTATAAAACCTATTAGTACAGTGGCAGCTCTTTTCCAGAGGATACAGGACTGTTTACTAAATAGGAGAGCTCCATTTTTTATCACACACATAAGAGCACATTCGGGGCTCCCGGGCCCCATGAGTTTAGGTAATGATCTGGCTGATCGTGCTACGCAGCTTGCTGCGGTAGCTCTTGCCTCCCTGTTGCAGACCGCTAAAACCTTTCATGATAATTTTCATGTTACAGCTGAAACCCTGCGTAAACGTTTTTCTCTTACCAGAAAGGAGGCTCGTGATATTGTAACCCAATGTCACAATTGTTGCCAGTTTCTCCCTGTCAGACACACTGGCATAAACCCCAGAGGGATTGCGTCTTTGCAAATATGGCAGATGGATGTGACTCATATCACTGCCTTTGGAAAACTTCAGTATGTGCATGTGTCAATTGACACATGCTCTGGCGTTATTCATGCCACACCACTTACAGGAGAAAAAAACCTCTTATGTCATTCAACATTGTCTTGAGGCATGGAGTGCTTGGGGCAAGCCCACATCTTTAAAGACGGATAATGGGCCTGCCTATACTTCTCAAAAGTTTAAACAATTTTGTGCACAGATGCAAGTCACACACATTACAGGCCTGCCTTATAACCCCCAGGGGCAAGGTATTGTAGAGCGAGCACATCGCACACTCAAATCTTATCTACTTAAACAAAAAGGGGGAATATTGAAGGAATTACCCCCGACACCAAGAGTAGCCATTGCCATGGCTCTGTTCACTATAAATTTTTTAAATCTGGACGATAATGGCCAGAATGCTGCAACACGACATAGTTCGGATCCGCAGCGGACCAAGGATTTGGTTATATGGAAAGATGTGTTTTCTAATGAATGGAAAGGCCCGGATCCCATCCTATTGAGATCCAGGGGAGCTGTTTGTGTGTTCCCACAGGACCAGGAAAATCCATTCTGGGTGCCAGAAAGACTGACCCGAACGGTGAGGGGTGACCCACAACACGCGGACTCGCCTGAAGATTTGGCTTCTGTTCCTCCTACCATTTTGCGGATGGATGACAACGGTTACGAAGGAGCAGCGATGGGGGATACTCTCAGCCTTCCTGAAGCCGACACCAGTCAGCCATAGAGTGGCAGTGTTTCCTCGTCTTTTTTTTATTTTACAACCAATAAGACTCTGGGGCTCCCCTACCTTCTATTTATAAGCTTATTGGGTGGGGGTGGGAATGTTTGGAACAGCCCTATGCTGAGGATCAGTGTTTCTCCTCTGGATGGTCTGCTGACTCAAATCCCAAAGTCGTAGGGACAAAGTGTGGTTATTGCACAAGTGCTGGCTGCCCTGGAACAGGGAACCTCTACTGATGTAGTTATCTATGCTGAAGCAGTAAGGTTTATGCCAACCAGCTCCTGCACCCCTAGGACAGCTCTGTCCATTGCACAGGGTGGAATGCTTGGATTAGCTAGCCCTGAAGGTTGTCGAGCTAAAGAGCATCACACAGAGAATGGCCCTCTCTGAGAGATATGTCGCCCTGCATAAGGGTTTCCTGCCGTATATTCCCTTTCCCAGAAAAATGGCAGAGGGCAGGCCGGATAAGTTCCAGGTGTCATGAACCTAGGGGCAGATTCCGTGCAAGCCCATTATAATGTTTCCACTTTGGGAAGTGCGACCTCTATCTTTGCCTTCTGAGGGAATTGCCTTTCTGCAAAAAAGTAAAAAAAAAAAAAAAAGGGGAGATGTAGAGGACCGCAACCACATTCGCCATTCCAAGATGGCGCTGACATCCGGTTCCACTGCGCAGTGAACAGGATAACGCGCATGTGTTGGCAAATTTCCAACGCTGTAGTCCCTGCCTCTCCCGAGGCGTCATCTGGGATGATGTGCAGTTGACCAATCTGAGAGTGACACGTCCGAGGCGGGGACTGTTTCCTATATAAGGGCTGGGTTCGCCTCGCTCTGGGTCTCCGCCATGTCGGCTTATGCTCTCGCTCTCAAGACGCATTAAAAAGCTGTTCTGCAGAAGGATCCTACGTGCCCTGCGTTGTTCTTGCTGGCGAGACAGTAGCGCGGGACACTACATAGGGGTCATCATTTTAAGCAATGTAAGTACAAGCAGTTACGATACATAGTACCCAACTTTGATAGGCTGTCTATTAATTTTGGAGGGATAGAACAATATGTAAATTAAAGAAACAATAAAAACAACAAAATATTGTATACACAGGTTAACTGAGAAATATAAGCAG